ACAAGGGTTCCAGTTTCTCCATATCCTTGCCAATAGCTTTATCTGTTGTCATTTTTTATATTATAACCATCCTAATAGGTATGAAGGGATATCTCACTGTGGTTTTGACTTGACTTTCCCTGATAATTAATGTTGTTGAATGTGCTTTTAATGATCTTTTCATTAAAAAATTAATGATCTTTTTGTGTTTATTGGTTATTTTACATATCTTTTTGGGAAAAATCTCTATTCAAGTCTTTTGCCATTTTTAATTGAATTGCTTATGGTTACAGAAATTTTTCATTTTCTATATTGTAGTCTTGATCAAATATATGATTTACAAATATTTTTTCCTATACTATGGGTTGGGTTTTTCAGTCTTGATGATATCTTTGATTCACAAAAGTTTTAAATTTTGATGAGGTTCAATTTATGTTGCCTGTACTTTTGGCATCATACTTAAAATACCATTGTCATGTCAAAGATTTCCCCCCTGTTTTTTTTTTTATAGTTTTAACCTTTTTTTCCACCCTGAATTCCTTGTGGGATCTTAGTTTCTTGATCAGGGATTGAACCCAGGTCGATGGCAGTGAAAGTGCTGAGTCTTAGCCACTGGATCACCAGGGAATTCCCAGTAGTTTTAATTCTTAAATTTAGAAACCTTCTGTTTTAAAATCATTGTCTTTTCCTCTTTAAAAAAAATTATCTATTTGGCTCTACTGGGTCTTAGTTGCAGTATGTGGGATCTAGTTCCTTGACCAGGGATCAAACCTAGGCTCCCTTCATTCAGAGTGGGGATCCTAACCACTGGACCACCAGGGAAGTCCCTTAAATTTAGAAATCTGGTCTGATTTTGGTAAATTTTTGCACCTGGCATAAGATAAGGGCCTACTTTTGCCTTTGCATGTGGACATCCAGTTTTCCCAGTACCATTTGTAGTTAAGAGTATCCTTTCTCCTTGGATGGGTCTTGCACCTGATCAAATATCAATTGACTATATGTGAGGGTTTATTTTGAGCTCTGTGTTCCATTACACTGGTCTGTATGTCTGTCTTTATGCCAGTCAGACACTGTTTTGATTACTGTAGCTTTGCCATTTTGAAACAGAAAGTATGAGTCTTCCAACGTTGTTCTTCTGTTTCAAGGTAGTGTTGGCTATTTGGAGTCCCTTGCAATTCCACATGAGTTTTGAGATGTTCAAAATTGCCATTGGGATTTTGATAGAGATTGCACTGAATCTGTACAGCACTATGGCTCATGTTATGGACTAAATGGTATTCCCCTAAAAGGTATATGTTGAAGCCCTAACCCCCAGGACCTCAGAACAAGACTATATTTGGAGATAGGGCCTTTTAAAAGGGGATTATTTTCAGGACTTCCCTGGTGGTCCGGTGGTTAAGAATCTGCCTTGCAATGCATTGGGACATGGGTTTGATCCCTGGTTAGGGCCTTTCCTGGTGACTCAGATGGTAAAGAATCTACCTGCAACGTGGTTAAACCCAGGTTCGATCCCTGGGTCAGGAAGATCCCTTAAGGAGGAAATAGAAACACACTCGAGTATTCTTGACTGGGAAATTCCATGGACAGAGGAACCTGGTGAGCTACAGTCCATGTGGTTGCAAAGAGTTGGGCATGACCGAATGACCAACACACAGGGAACTAAGATTCCACGTGCTGGGTGGCAGCTAAGCCTGGGTGCCACAACTAGAGAGTCCCCATGCTGCAACGAAGACCCGAAATACACATTGTAAAACAAGGCCCAGTGGACCCTAATCCAATCTGAAAGGTGTCTTCATAAGAGGAGTACATTTGGACACATGAAGAGAGACCAGTGACATGACAACACAGAGGAAAGACTGCGAGGACACCACGAGAGGGCAGTCATCAGCAAGCCAAGAAGAGAGGCCTCGGAAACCAATCAGAAGCACCTTGATCTTAAAAGGTGTGTTGTTATGGCAGCCCCAGCAAACTAATACAGATGGTATTGCCAACAATATTAATTCAAGAACATGGGATGTCTCTCCATTTATTTAAGTCTTTAATTCCTTTCAGCAATATTTTGTAGTTTTCAGTACACAAGTCTTTCTCCTCCTTGTATAAATTTATTCTTAAACATTTTATTCTTTTTGTTGTAAGTAGGATTGTTTTTAAAAATATTTTTTCAGATTATTCATTGCTTGTATATAGAAATGCAACCAATTTTTGTGTTGATTTTGTGTACCTCAACTTTACTGAACATGTTTATTAGCTGTTTTTCATGTAAGTGGACTCTACCTATAAAATTTTATTGAAAATGGCTTTGGCATTTAACTGCCATCTGCCATATGCCATCTGTCTTTAGTAATCAGGCAATTTGATAATCTTGCTCAGCTTCCTTCTATTTCTATTTGATTTAGGATTAATGCAAGAAATGGATGTTGAATTTTAGAATAAGCTTTTTCAGATACCTTTTCATGTAATCATACAGGTGGTACACCTGAGTCTCTGTTTCTTCATATATGAAATGGGGATAATGATAGAATTTTCCTAATAGAACATCGTGAAGATTCCTTGCGAATCTAAGAAAAGGGATCTGCTATAGGCTGAAAGTTTGAGTTCCACACAAATTTCTGTGTTGAAACCTAACCCCTAGCATAACTGTATCAGGAGGGGATTAGATTTTGAGGGCAGGACCCTCATAATTGATATTAATGCCCTTATAAAAGAGACCCCAGTGACCTTCCTCATCCTTTCTGCCATGTGTTGTCACTGTTGTTTAGTTGCTCAATCGTGTCTGACTCTTTGCAACCCCATGGACTGTAGCCGTCCAGGCTCCTCTGTCCATGGGGGTTCTGCAAGCAAGAATATTGGAGTGGGTTGCCATTTCCTTCTCCAGGGGATCTTCTCAACCCAGAGATTGAACCCACCTCTCCTGCACTGGCAGGCATGTTCTTTGCCACTGAGCATCAGGGGAGCCCTGGTGGCTACCATGTGAGGACACAGTAAAAAGATGGTCATCCATGAACCGGGAAGCAGATTCTCACCAGACGCCAAATCTGCCGGCACCTTGATCTGGGACTTCCCAGCCTCCAGCAGTATGAGAAATAAACTTCCGTTATTTGTAAGCCACCTAGTCTATGGTCTTCCGTTACAGCAGTTCAAATGGACTTAGGTCAAAATAGGATGTTGTCTTGTCACATTTTCCTTAATTTGCATTAGTGCAATTAATTTTGTTGATAAATCTGTACATGCAAATTATTGTGCATATTGCCTGGCCATTGCTGACCTCCCTGCTGAACCCCAGACCTGAGTTCCCGCAGCCTCCTGAATAGACTCCTCTAGAAGTCTCTGGGACCTCCCACACCTACTGTGACCCCCAAATGGTCTTAGTGTCTCCCCCTAACCTGTTCCTTTTCTTCAGTTCCCATCTCAGGAATAGCCTCTTTGTCCCCTAGTCCCCGGGGTAGAGGCCTGGACCTTTTCCTAAAAGCACCCACTCCCCTTCCATGGCCTGCCAGCATCACAGCCTGTTCACTAGACCTCCCGAGCATCGCTCCCGCCTGCCCCTTCTCCTCCTTCCTATACCAGGCTTTGGTCCAGCACCATCCCCTCCTGCACCAGTCCCTGGCCTGCTGCCTTGAGAGCTGAGCTGTCCTCCACAGGGCAGCCAGAGCATCCTTCTACATCTGACCATGTCCTTCCATTTCTCCACTCTGAATGCTCCTCTGATGATTCCCAAACTCTATAATGTGATCTCAGCGGCCTTGCCGCCTCAACATGGACAAGCTGGTTCAGCTGTCTGCCCTGGTGACCCCTCACGGGGTGTGTCCCCTGGGGCTCTGTTTCTGAAGCCCCAGGAGGGGCTGGTCAGAGGACTTGCACAGTCACTCTACCTAAGACCTCTGGGGAGGAGCTAGAGTGGAGCCTACTGGGTGGACAGGAAGTGGAGGACACGGGCACGTTTGCTTTTTGACTTTTGGTCTCCGTTTTCCCTTCTTTTTTCTTTTTAAATTTTTATTGGCTGTGCTGGGTTTTCACTGCTGGGTGTGGGTTTTCTCTAGTTGTGGCAAGTGGAGGATACGCTCTCTTTGTGGCATGCAGGCTTTTCTTTGCAGTGGCTTCTCTTGCTGCAGAGCAGGCTCTAGGGCATGCAGGCTTCAGTAGTTGTGGTGCATGGGCTCAGAAGTTGCGGCTCCTGGGTTCCAGAGTGAGGGGGCTCAATAGCTGGAGTGCGTGGGCTTAGTTGCCCCAAGGTATGTGGGATCTTCCTGGACCAGGGATGGAACCCATGTCCCCTGCACTGGCAGATGGATTCTTAACCACTGGACCACCAGGGAAGTCCTCCTTTTTCCCTTCTTGACACACACGTTCCTTACAAGAACATCCCTTCCCCACACATAAGCAAGAGGTTAGGATGGGATTGACAACCCTCAGATCCAGGGGTGGGTTCTGAAGTGCTTAAGCCCAGCAAAGTCTCACCCGTCTGGCAGAGTGAGTGGCAAAGTATTGAGTTTATGATTCAACCCCATCCAATCAGAGTGACCAACAGGACTTTTGCCTGGGAATGTTGGACTCCAGCCCCTTTTTTTCTCTGGATAATAAAACATATGGATGCGCTGTGAATGTGAGATGCACTGGCCTGTGGTCAGAGACCAGCCTCAGATGAGGGCAGGGCAGGGAAAGCTAGAGAAATGGAGCCAGAATTTTATGGACATTGAAGCTTCTGGATCAAGCTGTACTTGAAGCCCGTCTTAACAAAGTCCATAAATTACCATTTCCATGTGGACCACAGAAAATTTTCCTACTTGCAACTGAAACAAAAATCTAAACCTCCCAGAGACCCCTCCTTAAACTAGACACTAGATAGGTGTTGCCATTCAAGATCTGTCACAATTAGTTTTAGACCTAGGCACTGAACAGTCAGAACAGACTGCAGGCCATGGCAATGGGCCTGGGTCATGGAGGACCCTGCTGGACTGTAGGGAGGTCTGGGGCACTCTGCGGAGGGGCTGAGCCAGGAGGCACACAGAGAAGCCACTATGTACCAGCTTGGCACAGGAGGATTTTGATATTTTAATAACCAATGCAGCTGGGTGGTACAAACTAACTGAACACAAGTCCTCACAAGGTCCCATGGCTGATGCTGAAATGTGAAGTGAAAATTCAAGCAAAACAGGGAGAAAGGCCTAGGATGAGCAAGCGATGTCCAAGGCAACCCAGGACATAAGAGACAAGGGTGGGTGGTGGCTGGGGCAGGCCAGAGGCTTAGGTGGTGGACTTCCTCTTCAAGGCGTCCTTAGTTTCAGCCTTGTTCTCCTCTGCCCCCTTGTAGACAACCCTGGAGTTTAACCTGGAGCTCCTCCAAGACATGGTCCCAGAGTGGCTGAAGGCCCTGCTGTCGGAGGGGGTACTGTAGGTGTAGTAAGATTCTAAGCCAATGATGCTGTTGATCTTCCAGCGGAGGAAATTGCAAAACTTCACCATGTAGGGCGACAGAAGGCAGCAGATGATGTAGAGAATCACCAGGCCGACAAACAGGCTGGCTGACACCTGCAGGAAATGGGTCAACAGGCAATGGTAGGCGGTCTCAGTGGGGCAGGTGGGGTCGGGGGGTGGCCCTCCATCGGGCAGGGCAGGGCATCTCCAGAGCAGCCACTTACCAGGAGGATGAGGAAGGCCCGCCTGGCACTGAGCGGGAGTCCATGGATGTGCAGCAGAAAGGTGAGCTGGTAGTCGCAATAGGTGCTCTCGTCCACACCTCTGGTGGGGATGGGGGTCTGAATGAGGTGGGGAGGAGGTGGGCACCTCCCCCAGGAAGCCCCCGATCCCACCTCAGCTGTGTGTGTGCCTCACCTATTGCTCACCAACACCTTGAAGAAGAATTCAGGGGCAAAGATGCTGTGGGGAATGGTGTCATGGCACGGTGAGTTCTCCAGACATAGCCACCTGGGGGAGCAAGTTCAGGCGCTTGTGGTACAAATCACGCATGTGACAACTCCTGATCTTCCCCTCTGCCCCACAAGTTCTGGATGAGCACTAACTCCGTGCGACCTCCTACCTCCCTCCCTGATTCACGCCTTCACTCATTCAGCTGGTAACGCTGACTGACCCCCTACCAGGAGACAGGCTGTTCCTTTATCCATCCTTTTCCTCCCTTCTTTAGGGGAGCCGTCAATTCCTCCGTTACTATGTATTCATCTAGATTACGGATTGTATACCTATGATGTACCAATTCCTCATTTATTCTTTGCTGCCTTTATTCCATCATGGCACAAAGTCGCATCTTCATTTCTTTTTTCACATAGTCAATAAATGCAAGTTGAATACTGACTAGGTGCCAGTCGGTTACTTTGTTCACTCATTCGTTTCCTTTATTTGCTTATGGCATCATTTTCTTTCATTCATTGAATCAAAAATAATTATTTATGCTTGGGAAATTCCATGGACAGAGGAGCCTGGCAGGCTACAGTCCACCGGGTGGCAAAGAGTCAGACACAACTTATAGACTGCTGCTGCTAAGTCACTTCAGTTGTGTCTGACTCTGTGCAACCCCATAGGCTAAACAACAAATGTAAGCTTATATTCTGTCACTGTTCAGTTTGTAATAAAAATTTTGAGAACTTAAAAATAAATAGCTACTGAGGCCCTATATGCTAATTTTTTTTTCTTCTCCTGGCCGTGCCCCACAGCTTGCAGGATCTTAGTTCCCCAACCAGGAGTCAAGCCCAGGCCCCCAGCAGTGGAAGCATAAAGTCCTAACCACTGGACCGCCAGCAAATTCCTGCTATATGCTAACTTATTACTTCATTGTTTCATTCATTCATTGATACCTCCATTCAAAGGTCAATAAGTGCCTACAAAGAATGAATGAATTTGTTCATTGTCTCATTCAACAAATACTATCTATTCTGGACCTGGATTTATAAGAGAGACAGACTCCACAGCAGACAGTGACAGCTCAGAGGGGTCAGGGTGAGAACAGGGAAGGTACAGGAGGATGCAAGAGCCAACTGTCCCACCTAGAACAGTCAGAAAAGTCCTGGAGGAAGTGGCATCTGAACTAAGGCCTGAAGAAGGATTAAGGGGGACCAGTCCTGCGGACAGAGGGTCCAGTTTGCATAAAGGTCAAAGTCAGTCTCATTCAAGGAACACAAAGACAGTCAGTGTAGCTGGAGGACCAAGGAGTCTCCCAGAGGCAGAATGGATGGAAAGGCCCGATAGATGTGGGCAGGTGGGGGCGAAGGGGGCCTGCAGTCGGCCCAGGCACTCACTCGATGCCTAAACTGTTGTGCGACATGATGTTGAAGGCCAGGTCCTCGGTGGTCGTTGTGTTCTCCGTAGTCCAGATGAGGCTGCCAGTCCTGCGCAGGCAGGGGTAACCTCAGTAGGGGACCGGGCCTCAGCGGACCGGGGCCCCAAAAGGAGGCGGGGAAGGAGGCGGGGATTGGGTGGGTGGAGCCTCATGCCACTGGAGGGCTAGAGTTTGCAGGAGCCTGGGAGCCTGCGCTGTGGGCGGGGCCCGGTGGGTACGGCTTGCAGCCCAAGTTTGGTCTGTGGCTGGGCAGCTGGAGGGGGCCTGCAGGGGAAGAAGGGCCAATTATGGGCCTGGTCCCACAGGGATTACTTGTCCAGGGGGCTGTTGAAGCGGTAGATTTCCTCCTCGCTGTATTCCTTGATGGTGTCAAGGGTGGGCCCGCCGCCCACCACCTTCAGCACGTAGCTGTGGGGAGCAGAGGTTCGAAGGGGCTGTCTGGGGTCCTGCCTCACCTCTACATCCCCTTTTCTCCGCGCCCCCACCCGCAGTCCCTTGCCCCCAGCCCACTCCCTTCAGCCGCTGGCTTGGATCCCCTTTACCTGCCCTGAAAACTGCCAGAATCACCCGTCACCAAATCTTGGATCAAGAAGAATGGGTAGAAGGCTGTGGGGTCGGAGGGGTGGAGACCGGGAGGAGAAATGAGAGAGGGGAAGGAGGAGAGATGAAAGGACCCGAAGGAAGAGCAGAGGATGGGTGGGACAGTGAGCGGGCAGGCAGGAAGGGCGGGGGTGGGGGGTGCACAAAGGAGAGGGCGCTGAACACCCACTGTCCCGGAAGAGAAAGCAGGGCATCTCCTGGTCCACTTTGACGCAGTCGAAGTAGTGTTTGTTCTGCACGCGGTTGTATTGCAGCGTGTAGGTGATGTCCAAGGCCAGGCGCTTGCCTGGCGGGCAGCCGATAAGCACTGGCACCATCAGGTTGCCCTGAGGGAGAGGAGAAAAGCCTGGTTCTGGGGGTCCGGCAGGAGGGACACCCCTCCTCCCCCACACCCCACACACCCTCACTAGAGGGCCAAGCTGGTTATTATTATTACTGTTAAAACAATAAAAACAGCAAGCGCTTGCATAGCTCTCACTGTGCACGAGGCACGGAGGGATTCTGCGCAGAGCTTTACATATTCAAGTTCATTCACTCCTCAAAACAACCTTGCATAATATAGACCATTAACAGCTCCATTTAATGAGATGGCAAAAGTGAGGCACAGAGAAGTCAAGTCACTTATTAATTATCCGAAGTCACACGGCTGGGAATGTGGTAAAGTCAGGATTCAAACTGAGTCAGGTGGCTACCAACTGCCTTCAGAATAAGACATACAAAACCATTAACACCTACTCCTGTGAAGCAGCCAGCTGCTGTGTGTGTTTGTTAGTCATTCAGTCGTGTCAGACTCTTTGTGGTTGCATGGACTGTAGCCAGCCAGGCTCTTCTGTCCATGGGATTTTCCAGGCAAGAATACTGGAGTGGGTTGCAATTTCCTCCTCCAGGGGATCTTCCCAACTCGGGGATCAAACCTAGGTCTTCTGCATTGCAGGCAGATTCTTTATAGTCTAAGCCACCAGGGAAGTCCCGGCTCCTAGTTGGACTTTAATTGGCTGAAGCTGAGGGAATTCCCTGGTGGTTCAGTGGTTAGGACTCTGATTTCACTGTCAAGGGTCCAGGTCCAATTCCTGGTTGAGGAACTAAGATCCTACAAGTCTGCATAGCCAAAAAATAAGACAATGAAGAGCTGAGGTGGAGCCTGATTTCCTAAACAGTAGGCTTGGGGGAAGCATGGGATACGTGAGGAAAGTAGGGCCCAGGATGGGAGTTCAGTATCTTGGGAATGAAAGGTTCCTGGCCCATTCTGGGGTTAGGGCCCAAGGATTTCACCCCATTGTCAGAAGGACATGCGCATCTAGAGGCTGCAATCTGGGCTTGCTGGCTTCTAGGGAGAGGAGCCTGCACATAGCAAGGAACACCCAGTGCAACCAAAGAGAAAAAAAAATTATTTTTGTAAAAAGCTACAATAAAAAAAGAGTAGATGCTTTGACTTTTAAAAAACAATCTTTAGGGGGGTATCATGGTCAGATAGATAGATAAGTGGATATATATTGGGATACACACACAGACACACACATATATACACAGTGAAAATTTCACTTCCATTCCTGTCCTCCAACTGTCCTGTCTCTTCCCTAATCAACCAGTAAAGAAAGAAAGTTAAGTTGCTCAGTCGTGTCCGACTCTTTGTGGCCCCATGGACTGTATAGCCTGCCAGGCTCCTCTGTCCATGGGATTTTCCAGGCAAGAATACTGGAGTGGGTTGCTAGTTCCTTCTTCAGGGGTTCTTCCTGACCCAGGGATCAAACCCGGGTCTCCTGAACTGCAGGCAGACTACCATCTGAGCCACCAGGGAAGGGCTCATTCAACCAGGAGGGAACCGTTATGAATACTTTCTTGCACTTTTCCCCATAGTTTCTTCATGAAAATAAAAGCAAACATGAATACATGTTATCAAGTAACCTCTTTCATACTAACATTTTGTATACACTGTTGCAGTGTGTGGAGATCTCTGCCCTTCTCCAGGCAAGAATACTGGAGTGGTTGTCATGCCCTCCTCCAGGGGATCTTCCCAACCCAGGAATCGAACCCAGGTCTCTGGCATTGCAGGCAGATTCTTTACTGTCTGAACCACAGGGAAGCCCATTCTCTGTGGTGGGAGTGTCTATAATTGATAAGGCCACCATGGAGGGGGATAGGAGTGATAGTCATTACAATCAGGAATGCAGAGGCCCTTTGACATAGCATTTCCCCTTTCCTAGGTAGGAAATGACACAGATGCAGGGCTATTCATTGTATGAGAGCTTTAAAAAAAAAAAATTTTTTTTTTTTTTTTTTTGCCACACCACGAGGCTTGTGGGATCTTAGTTCCCCAACCAGGGATTATTGAACCTGGGCCACAAGAGTGAAAGCACTGACTCCTAATCACTGGACAACCAGGGAATTCACACCCCCCAACACACACCCACACCCTGTTCTTTTTAAATAGCTGCATAGTTTTCCACTACATGGATGTACCACCCTTTATTTAACCACTTCCCTAGTAATGAACATTTAGAATGTCTCCAAGTCTTTTGCAGTAACTGTGTGCTGCAGATCAGATTCCTGGAAGGGATCTGCTGGGCCCAAATAGATATTAACTGACTTTCTGGGGTTATGATGAAGAGGAAAATAGTGTGAACTAAGTTTAGCAGGAAACAGTTATTGGGCTGTGGTCACTCTTCGCTGCATTTGACCCTGAATATCCCATGTAATCCAAGGAGTTGGGAGCTGTTACAAGTCCCCTTTTTTAAATTGCCCTGGGTCATAGCAACTCGGGCTTCCCAGGTGGCACTAGTAAAGAACCCAGGTGCCAATGCAGGTGACACAAGAGACAAGGGTTCTCTCCCTGGGCTGGCTGGGAAGATCCCCTGGAGGAGGGCATGGCAACCCACTCCAGTATTCTTGCCTGGAGAATATCATGAACAGAGGAGCCTGGCAGGCTACAGTCCATGGGGTCGCAAAGGGTTGGACATGACTGGAGAGACTTAGCATGCACGCATACTAACCCAGGAAAGAGAAGCACCAGGGTCTGTCTCCTGGAAAGTGGGCAGGGAAGTGGGTGAGAACAAGGCCTCCTCTACCACTTGTTAGCTCTGGGGGTTACTCAGAGCAGATGTCTGTATCTCTCAGAGCCTCACTGTCTGCCTCCATAGCAGGTGAAGAACCAAGGACCCAAAGGCTTGAACAAAGAATGTGTGAGCAGGCAAAGGAAGAGCAAGGCATGAAAGGAGAGCCAAGCTTGTTCACGTGCCACCTTTGGACCAGTTGGAAAAACAAGCCCTGTGTCACAGATACTTAACTTCCCCTAGAAGAAAAGCATCAGAAGGAACACACAAATTTGTGTACCATCTACGCAATGCAGCACTTTCTGAAAACATGAATGGATTAAAGGAGGGAGGGGTGACTGGGTGAGGTAAATGATAAAAATGAATGAGAAAGAAAAAATTAGGAAGGCATTCATGGGATTCCCAGCTAGAGCCCTCAGATTCCACCCTGTTGAGACTGACCCACACCCTTCCCTCCCAGCACAAGGCCCAGGACCCCAAGTCCAATACTTGCATACGAAGCCCCTGGTTCGTGTTCTGGAAGCAGTGCCCAGACGAGCCCAACACCTGCGAGTAGGAGCAGAAGATGAGATGGGACCCCATGGCTTAGTCCTTCCCCTCATCTGCGTCCCTGCCCTCCAGGCTTGGACCACACACCTTGACGAGCATGGAGGTCTTCATGAGGTGATGTCCACTAATGCCCTGGTCAAAGCAAGACCTTTTATCACTGAGCGTAACCTGGGGGTGGAGGCAGAAATGAAGGGGGCAGTAGGCCAGCGGGACGACACAGGCACCGTTCAAATAACTGCGGGCTTCTAACAGGTCCACTGCACCAGTAGCTCCGCCATCACCTCAACGCCTCTTCTCCACCTGGTCTCACCCAGAAAAGCACCGAGTTGCGATTAACAAGGACCTTCTCCTTCACCACCGCCTCAATGCAGTCGGGGTCCGCCAGCACCACAGCCAGATCCAAAGGGCTCAGCACCTGGAAGGAGGGGCCTGCTTGGAGGAGAGGGCGGGGTTAAGGCTTGGGCGTGACCCAGTAGAATCCCCGCCCCTCGGCACCACCCAGGCCCCGCCCACAGACCGTGCTGGACTTCTGGCTTCCGGGCCGTCAGGAAGACTGAGAAGCTGTAGCTGGTACCCTTGTCCAGGAAGATGCGCTCGGGCAGCTCGTTCTCGGCCTTGAGGTCGTAGATCTTTTCGTAGCTGGTCATGTCAACGTGCACCCTTCCTGCATTCCGCCTGTTGCTGGCCAGGTAGAAGTAGTAATCCTAGGCAACGGGGTGCGGGGCAAAGTCAGTGCCCGGACAGGGGGACGGTGAGGGGGAGATCTGGGCTCGGCCCCTTCCCCCGACTCGCCACACTCTTCACGCACCTGGTCCTGCTTCTTGTTCTTCCACCAGCGCCAGGTGGAGTCGTGCACTAGGTCCGCGTATGGCTGCAGGAATCGAGGCACCGAGGGGAGGGGTGGGTATGTCAAGGGGTGTGCCCAGGCAGGCAGTGTCCCCAGCCTCAGTCCCAGCCCCTGACCCAAACTGAAAGATACACACCCAAGCCCGGCTTTCGGCCTGACCGCCCACCCCTGCCCCCAGCCCAAAGCCATCTCTTCTGAGCCGAACTCGATCCCCTCCTCGGACCCCCTTCAGCCTCGGAAGCACGGAGGCGGCTCTGCTCTGCTCCGCCCTCCGCCGCGGTTCTCCCTCCTGCGTAGAAGCCCCTGCGATACCGCCTCAGGCAGGACCCGGCCCAGACGGCGCCCACCTTGTCGTACTTCGAGTGCAGCTTGAGCAGGTAGTAGACGAGGCCCTGATAGACAGCCAGCGAGTTCTCGCTGTGGAAGCCCCAGGGCTCCCAGACGCGCGGCGGCCGGGCGCGGTAGCGCTCCTGGCGCGTGTAGATCTGCGGGTTGGGCAGCTCCCGCAGATGCATCACCGTGAAGGGGCAGAAGTTGGAGAAGGACAGCGTCAGGTGGCTCCTGAGCGGCGGTAGTGGAGGACGGAAGCTGACTTTCCCGGGATCCACGCACCAGGAACCTCCGCGGGCCTGCTTCCCACCCCTACGCTGCTGGCTACGCAAGGCTGATCCTGACCTACGCCGCAATCCCTGACCTTCCTCCTCAGGTTCTGCCCCTGGACATATTCATCTGCTTGTCCCTCGACCCCTCAGAACAGAGTCCTGGACCTCATCCTATACTCTCCCCGACCCCTCCACGGTAGTCAACCTTCTAAGGGTTCTTCCACCTCACTCCTCCACCACTCCCAGCTGCCTCCCTGAGCTCCTCTGCAGGTAAGCAGAAGGATGTAAAATCTGACCATGAAGTTCAAGTTCCTCCCTATGACCACCAGGGTCACCTTTTCCGCCTGGTCTCCAGGGCACTTCATTGGCAACGCATTCTATCCATACTACACTTCTTCTTTTTTTTTTTTTTTTTACTTCCTCTCAGTTCTTGATCACCCAGTCTCCTTTCCACTTGGCACAAGTGGTTCCCCCTGTCTGGAACACCCTTCTCCATCTACCACCTCATCAGTTCTCCTCACCCTTCATGCACCTCTTCTTGTGGAAGCCCTCCCTGATGCATCTTGCCCCCAGGCTTGGTTAGACCCCTCCTGCTTTGAGCCCAAAGGTTGTCACTGGGGATGGCTTGGTCTCCCCTCCCCCCCACCCCGGAATGGGAGCTTCAGATGGCAGTGCCTAAGGCTGTCTGTCTCTATGGTTCAGTATCTTCTCACCCTTGCCGCTCCAAGACATAGTCGTCACTGATCTGCTGGTACATCAGTAGCTGCTCCACGGGCATGAGCCTCTTGACGAGCCTGCCCTGCTGGTTGTCTATCAGGTACACCAGCTGCAGTGGGAAGGCATAGGCCACATGAGCTGGTGTCAGCCACCCTGCAGCTCCCCCGTCTCCCCAGCGCCATCCCCCCGCCTTGGTACCTGGTACAGTTTTTTGTCTTCGTAGAAGAGGGTGACCATGGTCTCATTGGGGGCGTAGAGAGAGGACTGCTGAAGAACCTGGAGGTTGATGTACACCTCCCAGGCCTTGGACGGGAATAGCTGGTACACCTGGTAGCTGCCCTCCAGGAGGTACCAGATCTGGGGGTATGACAGCCGGGTGTGTGTGTGTGAGGCCCATGGGCACTGTGACCCCCACCCCTCCCTCTGAGGGGTGAAGACCCCATTCCCTGAGGGGTGAGTCTTGGGTGCTCACCTCCAGCTGGGACCAGGTGAGCCATCTTTCTACTTCTCAGACCCAACTACCTCTGCTTCCAGCCCTCACTGCACATAATAAATTTCTTCAATGTTTCAGTCTGCTTGAGCTTTTATTACTTGCAATGTACCATTCCTAATATACACACTGCCTGAAGGCTGGGGATCTGAGGGCTAAGCCCTCTTTTTCCCTTCTCACTCTTTTTAAGATTCTTTTGTAATGTGGACCATTTTTAAAGTTGTTATTGAGTTTGTTACAATACTGCTTCTGTTTTCTGTTTTGGTTTTTTGGCCCTGAGACATGTGGGATCTCAGCTCCCCAACCAGGGATTGAACCCACATCTGCTGCAATGAAAGGTGAAGTGCTAACCACTGGATCGCCAGGGAAGTCTCCCTTCTCGCTCTTTGCACCCTTCAGGGTCTCGGCATCCCCTTGGTCTCAGTTTCCCACCTCTGTACTGTTGCCCACCCTCCCACCCCCTAACACATTTGGCTGTAGACCAAACCTCCTCCTTAGCTTCAGCTTGGAGGATTCTCTCCAGCCTCCAGCACAGCCCCCCTCCATGTGGCCTTCTCTATGAAGCCCTCCCTGACGCATATACCCCCAGACAGGGTCTGAACTTCCATAGGTGCTGTTTTCCCCACTGCAGCCTTGGCTGCCCTGAACTGTCACTGTCTGGGAATGAATCTATCCTCCCAACTGGACTGGGACCCTGTGAGGGCAGGGCCCACAGCTGACTCATTGGCCACTGTGTCTCCAGCACTGGATCGGGTGTGCTGAGCTGCGTGGCGGAATGAAAGAGGGCCCCCTATGGACATCCCTTCATGACTCTGAGCACAGACCCTTTACCCTGCTGAGTAACTTTGAAAAAGACACATCCTTTTTGAGTTTTAGGGTTCTCAGCTATAAATGGAGCTTCTGCTGCCCTTCCATTCCCCAGGGTCCCTGAGAATGTTCCCTCTCCTGGGCCCTTTTACCCTGACAGGGGTGGGGGGAGAAGGGAGACCCCTGGGCTTCGGGGCTGGGCAGAAAGGAAGTGGGGAGAGGAGCAGGGCAGTCCACCTCCTCGTTCTCGGTGACAATGGCCATGTCCCCTTGGAACGAGTTCACCAGGTACTTGATGGACAGCTCCTTGGGGAAGTCCGCCAGATAAATGAAGTTTTCACTGTTAAAACTGAATGGGCAGAGGTGGGAGGTCAGCACACCCAGGTGAGGCCCAGAGAATATCTGCTTCCCTGACTAGTCCTGACATGCCGCCATGGGAATCATCTACTCGCTTCTCCACCAGCCTGGTGAGAACGCACAAAGGAAGCCTGGGACTCTAGTTTCTGCCCCCACCTCCAAACCCTCTGGCTGAGCTGCCCATCTGTAAACAGGAGCTTTCGACCAAACTGGCAGTTTGCCAACACCCCACAGAGTTGGCTCTGGGTCCTCCAGCTTCCTGAAGGGTGAAAAGCATCCTACCCTCTCCCCGGGCCATGTGTTTCTATTGCTCACACAGGTTGGGTCCTCATAGCAGGTTTCATTTAAGAAAGGATTCCCACCACTGGGACTTCCCTGGTGGTCCAGTGGTTAAGAATCCGCCTGCCAATACAGAGGCTGTGAGTTCAGTCCCACATGCTGCAGAGCAACTAAGCCCGTGCACCACAGCTAATGAGGCCAGTGCCTCAGCTATTGAAACCCTCAGGCCTAAAGCCTGAGCTCTGCAACAAGAGAAGCCACTGCAATGAGAAGCCCGTGCACCATGACGAAGAATAGCCCCTGCTCTCTGCAAATAGAGAAAAGTCCGTGCACAGCAACCGAGACCCAGTGGAGCCAAAAACAAATAAGGATAAACCGTTGTTGTTGTTCTTGTTTTTTTTTTAAAAAGGACTCCCAGCTTTAAAATATCAGCTTCCCCTATTCTATCTCTGCCCACCCCAGCCCATGTTTTCCCCCATGATGGTTCTGATCACTTCTGGCCTTGGGCATACACACCCTGAAAACTTGGTGACTTCAGAATGGAGCCCCACCCTACGTGGGGCTGGGGAGGCCAGCTCCATACCTCTGGAGGAGGAAGTTGCCCCAGATGAGCAGCAGGTTGTTATACGGGTTGTAGGACATGCCCTTGGGGACCATCGGAAATTTGGTATAGGACTCTGTCCCTAGAATCATCAGGAACTCCAGGCCTCGAGCTGGCAGGGGCACAAGCAAAGTGGACAGAGCAGTGAGGTGGGGTTGCTTGGGCCTCTCCTAGCACCCACCCACTTTTTCAGCCCCCTCTGCCTTCCCCTCCTACCGTCAGGGATGAATTCTGGGATGGTGTAGAGGACAACCAGGTGATCACTGACTACAGGTGGGGAAGACACAGCAAAATCTCCTGAGACCCTGAGCTTTCAAGACCTGCAGCTGAGCAAGTCCCCAGCTCCCCAACGCCTCCAACCCCATCCCAACAGCTTCCCATTTGGGCCCACTGTTGTTGCTGTTGTTTAGTTGCTAAGGCGTGTCCAACTCTGCGACTCCATGGGCTGTAGCCTGCCAGGCTCCTTAGTCCTTATAATTTCTCCATGTGAATTATAAAAAGGCACTTTCTCTAAGAGGATACAGTCCTGTGAGGGCAGAGGACTTGATTCCTTGGCTGGGGAGCTCCAGACACAGCCTAAACAACTGTACATGCACACCTGCTAACTTGCTTCAGTAGTATCCAAACCTATGGACTGCAGCCCTAGAGGCTTCTCTTGTCTGGGTTGCCATGCCCTCCTCCAGGGGATCTTTCCAAACCCATGTCTCTTATTGTCTCCTGCATTGGCAGGCGGGTTCTTTACCACCAGTACCACCTGGGAAGCCCTAAACAACTACACGGCAGCCCTATTCTCACTCCATCAGCTCACATCAAATCTTACTGTGAGCCACAAGGCCCTCCCAGGTCTTGCATTGCTCATGCTTCCAATCTCCCTCCTTCCCCTTCCCCCTCGGCTCCAGTCTCATCGACTTCCTCTCAGTTTTCCCAGGCCACTCGGCCTGTTCTCCACCACTGCCCCTGACCTATCAGTGGCAGGAGCCACATTTCCTTTCTCCTATCTGTTGAGCACAGATGCCACAAGATGGAGCAGCAGTTCATAACCCCATCTCCTGCCCCTTCCCGCTTAGCAGCCCCCAGTGGTGCCCCAATTACCCAGGTCATAGCTGACCACCTGGAAATACTTCGAGGAGGTAGGGCCTACAATCTCCACCAGCATCAGTAGATTGTAGTCACCAGCAACGAATACGGCCCAGGTGATGGAGCAGTTGACAACTGGGGAGGGAAGGCAGAAGTCCAGAAAAGACCCCCAGCCCCATCCCCCTCCATGGTCTCTGTGACTGCCAGGCCAATCCTGGTGACTCTCCACCCATCCCCAAGAAACTGCCCATCTTTTCCTGTGGCCTCTCCCACCTTTCCCTGCTCTCCCACATCCCCAGTTGCCCCCCAACCCTCCCAAGCCCACCCTATTCCCCACGCCCGCAGACCCATGTGGGAGCGGGATACCTAGAATTGCACTGCACACGGACCGATTCCTGGGCAACAACTTGAAGGACACGAGGCCATCTGAGGAGCAGAGCAGGTCAATGCTCAGGCCCTTCCCAGCCCATCTGGCACCCCACCACATCAGCTCTTCAGTTATCCGGGGTTGAATACCTGTGCCTCCTTCTTAGCCCTGGGGCAGCTCTCCCCCAACTGGCCTTTCTGTCCATTCACAACTGGCCTATCAGAATAGGTCTGCCTGCTGGTCACAGTAATTGGCTCAGGTCTGAGCACATGACCCAGAAATGGGCCAGTCAGAGTGAACCCTGGGATTTGTGCTAAGGCCAATGGGGAAAGAGTGCTGTCAGGGGTGACTCAAACCAGTGGGAGATGTGAGCCCCAAGTTCCTGGATGCCATCTCTAACCCCTGTGAAGGGAGTGTCTGTATGAAAATGAGGCCAAATTATAGGGCTAATAATGATAAACCCTTGAATAGGACTCACCATGTCCCTAGTGCTCTAAGACCTTCACATATGTCAACTTATTTAACCTTGATATCAACGCGATGATGTGGGTATCAGTATTCTCAGCCCCATTTTGCAAATGAGGATAAGTGCCCAAAAAGAGAGGTTGAGTTGCCTGTCCAAAGCCACAGGTGACTTGAGTTGGGTGTGTTAGAGCAGTCTCTCTCCTGAACCCATACTATAATCCCTAGGCTATACTCCCTTCCTAAGGGATAGTCCTGACGATTCACCTTGCAAGCCCTGGATCCAGCTATGCCTGATGCTGCATCTGGGTCTTTTCATCTATGTAAGTCTACACATTTTCTACGCTTAAATTATTTTTGAATTGGGCTTCTGCCCTTAGAAACCAAACACATTGTGAAAGATACCTAACCGCTTCCCGCTCCCACCAAGCCCCACCACTACAAAGGCATAAACCCATCTCGACACTGGGACCCCTCCTGAAGGAATATGGTGAGGGGTGAGGACCTGGGGTCAGAACTCTTAGGGAGTGAGAGGGTCCTGAGGGGTCTCTTGGGCTGCTGGAGACTCCTGACCTTACCTGTGATGGTCCCAAAGTGGACATAACCTTCGTTCTTGCCAGTGGTGAGGGCCATCACGTACTCGGAGCCATTGCTATGGAAATGCACGGGGCACAACCTCTTGATGCACTCGTTAGCCAGGACTCGAACCCATCTCTCTGTGGGGGCCAGCATAGACATTTGAGCCTGGGACCTTGAGTCCCCAGATCCAACTATGCCTGAAACCAACATGCTCCTGAGTTTTCTAGCTGTCTAAGCCAATAAACACCCTTTTCTTTGACTTACATCTATTCTAATCTGGTTCTTCCCACTGTCAAAGTTCCCTAAGAAAGAAAGTGAGAAAAATAAAGCCTTTGGGAACACTCACTAATGAAATAGGGGTTACAGTGTAAGTTTCTGTGATCCTGTAAGTTCACATCGCTCATTTACATGGGGAGGGGCAGGGGGGTAAGAAGAACTAGGGCTTTGATATCATTTAAAAGACGAGCCAAATCCAAAGTCTCTCTTAGGATTTCCCTGGTGGTCCAGTGGCTAAGGCTCTGCACTCCCAACGCAGAGGGGCTGGGTTCGACCCCTGGTCAGGGAACTAAACCCCTGACCAGGGTTTTGCCACAACTAAGAGTTCACATGTCTCAACTAAAGATCCCACGTGCTGCAACTAGGACCTGACAGAGCCAAATAAATAAATTTTTAAAAATTAAGTCTCTCTTTTCCTCCCTGATCAATCTCCTTCATGGCTCTGCCTTTCCAACAGCCTGTCCCTGATTCTCTCTTTGCCTGACTTCCTGCCCCTCCCCAGCGCCCCACACTTCTCACTTGGTGTGCATCTCTCTCTGGTACATCTTTGACCCTCTCTGCGCCTTTGCATATGAGTGAGCATGCACGTGTCTCTCTCTCTCTCTCTGTTCTTAGTGGGTTCAAGACCCCTGGGAAGGTCTGGATGAAAGCCTTGCCCCAATATACAGAGGGTAGGAGGAGGTGCCTGCAGGGTGGGAAGTGATGCTTCAGGAGCTTGGGAAGTCCCTCCTACATCCCCCTCTCCCCACCCATGGTAATTCCATTCCCAGGTGCCTCCAGTGATGGATTCACTGAAGCGCCCTCCCTGGGGCTCCAACAGGCAGGTCCCATGGCCTAAGATGCCCAGGACGCCCGGGTATGTGACCCCTCACCACTGCCATGATTGCTCTCGTAGAGTGTGGTGTAGGTGCCTGTGAAATAGTAGATGAGCTGGTTCTGCCGGATGAAGAGGGTGCTCTCAGTGGCAATGGCATCGTAGATGGTGGCGGTGAAGCTGGCTTGGGGGCAGTAGAAGGAGCCTACCCAGCAACTGTCAATGCTCAGCTGCAGGGGAGTGGAGCCAGTGGTGAGCAGGTGGCCTTGATCTCCATTCCTGTGTCCCACCTTGGCGGGAGGCACCTGCTCTGACCACTGCTCGGGATGGACATATGTGGCTGCCCCCAGGGCCCCCTTCCTGCTCACCCTGCAGCAGCATCTTGGTGGCCAAACTTCCCCCAACAAACTTCCCCTGGAAGGAGGCGACCCAGGCCAGAGCCAGTGGGGGCTTGCTGTGCTCCCTGGAGTTGGGCAGTGCTCCATGTACTCATCGGGGCTCAGCACACCTGGTTCCCCAGGCCACAGTCAGGATTGTCCTCATGTGGATCCACAAGATTCCATGCTTGGCCTAAGGCACATTTTAATAATCCTATTCTGTACTTTTTTTTTTTTAATGACCCCATGGAGCCTACCACGTTCCTCCGGCCCTGGGATTTTCCAGGCAAGAATACTGGAGTAGGTTGCCATTTCTTTCTCCATGTACTTTTTATATTTATTTATTTTTGACTGCACTGGGTCTTTGTTGCTGCCCGTGGGCTTTCTCTAGTTGTGGTGTGAGGGGTTCTCACTGCAGTGGCTTCTCTTGTTGCAGAGCACAGGCTCTAGAGCACGGGCTTCAGTAGTTGCGACTCATGGGTTTGGTTGCCCCACGACATGTGGGATCTTCCCAGACCAGGGATCAAACCCATGTCCCCTGCACTGGCAGTTGGATTCTTAACCACTAGACCACCAGGGAAGTCCCTATCCTATTCTATTTGAACAACTGGCCATCTGAACTCACCAACTAATCACTAACACTGGCAATATCATTAACAGTGGGAAAGCATCACCAATGAAGGGCTCTTGCCTAAAAGATTGAGTATAACTTTAACCAAGCTTCTAGAACTTACTACCAGTTTATAGGCAATATAGGGTGTTGTGGATAGAAATTTACATGTTGAAGCTCTATCCCCCAACATGAGTCTGCTGGGGCCTTAAAGGAGATAATTAAGGTTAGAAGCAAGGTTATAAGTGAGGTTATAAGGGTGGGGCCCTAATCCTATTGGACTGGTGCCCTTATCAGAAGAGGAAAAGACACCAGAGATCTCTCTCTCTCCACTCATGCACACGGAGAAAAGGCCACATGACGACAATAGTGAGAAGGCAGCCAGCTGCAAGCCACGGAAAAAGGCCTCACTAGAAACCAACCCTGATGACACCTTGATCTTGGACTTCCAGACTCCAGAACTACAAGAATATAAATTTCTGTGCCTAAGCCACCCAGTCAGAGGTATTTTATTATGGCACCCTGAGACTAATATTCAATACATAAGGTCAGAGGAATAAGCTAATTGATTCTATGAAGAAGAAAACAGCCAGGGCTTCCCTGGTGGCTCAGGGGTAAAGAATCCACCTGCCAATGTAGGAGACGTGGGTTAGATCCCTGGTCCAGGAAGATCCCACATGCTATGGAGCAACTAAGTCTTTGAGCTGCAACTACTAAACCTCATGTGCCTCAAACCTGTGCTCTGCAATAACAGAAGCCACCGCAATGAGAAGCCCATGCACTGCAGTGAAGAGTAGCTCCTATTCACCACAACTAGAGAAAGCCCACACGAAGCAATGAAGACTCAGCACAGCAAAAAAAAAAAAAAAAAAAACAGTAAACTGTCCAGTTCTATAGGACAATAGGCCTGGCTTCTCAAATTACCTGAAAAAAAAAAAAAAGGTGATTGATGGTTGTGAGTCAGGGGAGAGCAGACTTACATGTGAGAAGAGAATTAAGAGAGTTCACAACCAAATGCAATGTGCACATCCTGATTCAAGCAAACCAACTGTAAAACATATTTTCAGATAATGGGGGAAATTTAACTATGACCAGGTCAGATGATATTGGATTGGCCCCAAAAAATCATTTGGATTTTTCTGTAACAGCTTACAAAAAATCCAAATGATTTTTTTTGGCCAACCCAATATTAGGGGCTTATTGTTAATTTTGCTGGGCATCATAATGGCATTGTGATTCTATTTCTTCAAAGTCCTAATGTGTTAGAGATATTTCCTCAAGTATTCTCAGAATTTACAAGTGAAATGGTATGATGGCTAGAAATTTCTTTGAAACATTCCAGGAAAAAAAAAAGGAAAAAAAAAAAAAAAAGCAAAATGTTAATTATTGAAGCTGGGTTCATTATACAATTCTCTCTACTTTTGTGTTTGACTGAAATTTTCCACTAGAAAGTGTAACTTTCTACTAACTTTTCGAACAAAAAGCATAAATCAGAGATTTCCCAGTGGTCCAGTGGTTAAGACTCTGAGCTTTCAATGTCCAGCGCATGGGTTTGATTCCTGGTTGGGGAACTAAGATCCCACATGTTGTGCAATGAAGACAAGAAAAAATTATTTTTTACTTTTAAAAAGTATAAATCAAAATAAAACTCTAGGCTCTGCTGCTAAGGGAAATTTCACCAAGTTAAGAAGAACATGAACATTCTCACTTCCCTACCTATTCAGTACATAAGAGATTTCTGCAGACTACAGACTTTGTTGCTATGCCTGGGCAAACTAACCTGCACCCTCTCAATCTGTCATTTTGACTGGATATCACAATGTATTGCCCTGTTAATATTTAAAGTGCTGCCTCTGTTTTCTGAAAGAAACACTTGGAAAATTTCTTCGTTAAACTAGAAGATCATCACACTTCCCATCTTCCTCCACATGCCTGAGAAAAAGAAAAGCTGTGAGTCAGCTGGATTTCTTATTTGGGCAGTGTTAGAGAGTTCTGACTCATTTCCCCCAACAAGCAGCCTGTTGGGGTTCTCTGACCACAATGACTGAGTCAAGGTGGGCAAATGGTGAGCCACACCAAGTGGAAGGAATCTTGGGATTTGAGGGTTAGAAGATAATGGGAAAGATAATTCCCACTGGATGTGGGCCTGAGAAGATGCAACCTTTGCAGTTCCAAGTCCAGAGATGTTTGAGCATAAAGTCAATCATTTGGACAAGCTCTGGGAGTTGATGATGGACATGGAAGCCTGGCGTGCTGCAATTGCAAAGAACTGGACATAACTGAGTGACAGAACTGAATTGGAATGAATTGAAAGTCAATACAGAGGAACCAGGTCTGAGAACTGGAGAGAGAGAGAGAGAGAGAGAGAGAGAGAGAGACTCAGATTTGGTGACACTGTTTGAAATCCTGGATCAAACTGGACCTGAAGTCCTAAATTTTTTTGGTTACATGAAGTAACAAATTCCCTCCTCCACTTTTGGCAGGTGGCAAGTTAGGCTCAACTCCATCTCTCCCATTTTCTTTGGCAATGGAGTTTCAGCAGGGTATGTGCCAGCCAAGTGGAAATTAGACTTCCCAGCCTCCCTTGCAGTGGCTGTCGCCAATTGACTAATTCCTCAGCAATGGAATGTGACTGCAAGTGAAACTTGCTTAAGAGAAAATAGCTCACCCTTCACTTATGCTCTTTCTCCTTTCAAGCTGGCTGCAGTATGGACATGGGCATGATGCAGCTTAAGTCACACAGGTAAGATCAACACCTGGGGCCTAGAGGATGGTGAAGCAGGAAAGTAAAAGAGATTGGGCTTTCTCACATCTGGACTGTTTGGCAAATGAGCAATAGCACCCATTTAAGCTGCTCTCTCTCAGGGGTCTCTTTGTTACAGCATCTTTTTTTTTTTTTTTTTGAATGCACCATTCAGCTTCTGGGATGTTCTCTGACCAGGGACTGAACCTGGGCCACAGCTGTGAAAGCCTGGAATCCTAATCACTAGGCTTCTGGGGAATTCCTGTTACAGCATCTAAACCTGACCAACACAGGGCTGAAGATAGCTGCATAGTGTGGGTGTGTATGCAGGGGGTGAGGGGGCAGGGGTTGTTATGAGATCCTAGGGGCAGTCGACAGGAGTGCTGAGGTGTGAAACAGGAAGAAAGAAGGAAAATACAGCAGAGACTGCAATGTGGGAAAAGTCCTTCTTGTTAAAAATGAGAATAAATAGACTTTGATTTTGGAGTGATGGAAATTCTTTGGAAATAGAGTTGGTGATTGCACAATACCAATATATTCAATGGCCCTACACTGTTCACTTTAAAATGGTGAATTTTATAAATTTTATTATTTTTATCTTGATAAATTATTAAAAATAGGATGCCTGAAGTTCAAGTTGCACTTTTAATTCTCATGATGTAACTCCCCTCCTTTGTCCTCCAAATCTCTTCAGCAGAATTCATTGGCTACATCTCTCCTGTGGGTGTGTTTGGGTCAGAAGCATGAAAACTGACCAAGGTCTGCAAAGACCTGGGTCAGAACCAGAGAGAGAGCTGACAGGACAGCTCTATAGACCAGAGATGTTCTATAAACAGAAAGAGTTCAACAGAAGCAGGAATTCAGAGCCAGAGGGAAGTGAGAGAACATTAATCCACCTGGGGTTGTCAGAAATCCATGTGTGGGAGGATTTCGCTAGTGGTCCAGTGGTTAAAAATCTGCCATTCAACACAAGGGACTCGGGTTCTATCCCTAATGGAGGAACTAAGATCCTATATGCCTCGGAGCAACTAATCCCACGGGCCACAGTACAAAAGATGCCACGTGATGCAATGAAGATCCCACATGCTGCACCTAAGACCTGATGCAGGCAAAAATAAATAAGTAAACAAGTATTTAAAAAAGAAATCATGATGGCACTTTCAACTTTGATGGGAGGAGATTCAAGCAGTCTTTCGGGGTTGTTTTGGTGCACATTGTTATCTTAGACACAATTAACAACCAGCATCTTGTCCCCCCAGCTTGTGACAAAGCTACCCTGATTTCACTCCGGGGGAGTCATCCTCTCACTGTCTCCTGTCTTGGCTACCCTCCTCATTAGGACAGATCTCATGACTCATACTAAGCAGCTGGCACGCTCCATTCTTTTGGGACACATGACCCAAGCTGAGCCCATCAGGACCAAGCAAATAAATTTCAGGAATTTTCTTTTTTAATCTATTTGGGAAAGAGGTGCTCCCTTTCTCTGCCTATGAGCTGGGATGATATGAATCACTTTGAGGATGGAGTTAATCCAGAAGAAGTGAAGCCGAAAGTTGGAGTCCTCATTCGAACCCTGAATCAAGCCAGGCCTGCAGGCTGCTCTGTGTCCAGGCTTTGCAGTTGGGTGCACCTATTCGATCTTATTTCTCTGCTGAAACCAAACCGGTTTGGAGTTCTGCCTACAACTGAGATTAACCCAAACATGTTTGTGTTTCACACTGAAAGGACCTCGCTTCAGACACTGTTTCCATGTTTTGTAAGTAATATAGGCTCACAACGCCAAATTTGAAACCCTAGGGGCCAGGTGTATATTGAAATTCGGAATTTTCCAGTGTTTAGAAGGTAAGATGACACATATATGACGCTTCCTCAGTGGCTCAGGAGTACAGAATCCATCTATAATGCAGGAGATGCTAGAGCCCCCTGGATCGGGAAGATCTCCTGGATTAGGAAATGGCAACCCATTCTACTATTTTTGCCTGGAAAATCCCATGGACAGAGGAGGCTGGCGGGCTACAAAAGAATTGGATATGACTGAGTGACTGAGTATGCACCGTGGCACATATATACCACCCAAACACCCAGTGGGGTCTAGGGCAGCACCCCATAATCAAATTCCTTAACATTTCTGCAGGGCAGCATCAGAATATTATTAAATCGAATGCATAAAGATTAAAAAAAAAGAAGTCTTTGTTAGCTCAAGTCAGAGTTTCTCAACAAATGCATTTTAGCCTTGAATTGTGAAAATGTCATTTCAAAGATTTGGGATTTCAGAACTACAAATGGTGGACCTATAAATAATAATAGCTTCAGCTCCCATATTACTCATTCTGGGTCTGACTGCTATGCATTTGTGTCATTCTTAGAATTATTCTGTAAGGTAAATATAAATGTCGTTCCCATTTTACAAATGGGGAATCCGAGGCCAGGGTAGGTGAAGCGACTTGCCCAACATCACACAGCCAGGAGATGGCAGAAGGAGGATTTGAACCCAGGCTGCCTGGCTGCAAGGTCTGTCTTTTGTTGATGTTATCCACCTCTTCTGGGCGTTGGTGTGCCTCTGGGGAACCCTTCCATGGCCCTGGGCCCCTTTCCACTTTAGGAGCTGGAACCCAGCCCACCTTCTGCCCTGCAGTGACTCACCTCCACGAGAAAGAAGTCCTTGAAGTTTGTGTCGGTCAGTAGGACGGTCTTCTCCTCAGGGATGCCACCCAGGATGAGTACAGGTGTCTGGTCCACAGTGTACCACAGCGGCCTCGACGGGACATTCACAAAGTACCGGGGTATCAGATGGAAGAGCTGCAGGGCAGGAGCCAGAGGGCTGCTCGACAATCCCTTTTCTTCCCACGGTTCTGTCTCGTTTAAGGTAAAACCTAAAGAACTTACCCTGACTCACAAGGCCATGTGCAATTTGCCTCCATCACCTCTCTGACCTCATCCTCCACCACTCTCCCCCTTGCTCACTTTCTCCTGGCCATGTGGGCTTCCTCACTGCTTCTCAGAGCCTTTATACCAACTGTTCCCTCTGCTCGAACTGCTCTTCTAGTAACCACGTAATTTCTGCCTCTTCTCCACCAAGACTGTACTCAAATGTCGACCTTCTCAATTACACCTTTCTTGATTATCCCTTTAAACACTGCCACCCCTCCTGTGTGTGTGCTCAGCTGTGTCTGACTCTGTGACCCCATGGACTGTAGCCCGCCAGGCTCCTCCGTCCATGGGATTTCCCAGGCAAGAATACCATAGTGGGTTGCCATTTCTTACTCCAGGGAATCTTCCTAACCCAGGAATCAAACCCATGTCTCCTGCGTCTTCTGCACTGGCAGATGGATTCTTGAGCCTTAAGCCACCTGGGAAGCCCCCGCCACCCCCTCTTACCTAATTCCTAATTCCCCTCACTCTGAATTCTCTTCAGCGCACTGACCACATTTTAACCTGCTGTGGAATTGACTTGATCTCCTGTGTGCTGGTCTGGTGTCTGTCTCTCCCACTAGACTGTCAGCTCAAAGAGAGGGCATGGATTTGGGTCTGTGTGTTTGCTGCTACGTTCCCATGGTGCCACACTCTGTCCTCAGGAAGTGCCTACTGAATGAATGAATGCACTATGATTAAGAATATGGGTGCAGGAGTCAGGTAGACACAGTTTCAAGTCTGTGGGCAAATGGCTCCATCCTTTTGGGGTCTCAGTTTGCTCCTCTTTAAAATGGGTATGCTAGAGGACCTTCTCTCACAGGTCACTGTCAAGACTTAAAGTGTACTTAGCAGATTATGGCACCGGGGGCCCTTCCCATCACCGGGGCCCCCTCACCTCATTTCCCACAGTGAATTGGAGTTCCTGGTCTCGCTGTCTGTCCAGGAAGCCGTTAATGTTCACATGAAACCTGGAGGTGGGTGTGGGGCAAGCACCAGTGTGGGCTCTGGCTGCTGCCAGAGCTCACAGCCACTTCCCTGCCCCTTCCCTGCCACTTCCCCTGAGGACCCCTCTTCTCTTCTGTGGGAATCCGGAAATTAGGAAGCCCCTCCCAGAGTCTCTGCGCCTCGCCCACCCCAGGATCGGGAAAGGGCACCTTTTATTGGGAATGAAGGGCCCCAGGCCATTGCTGCTAACGTCCACGCGCATGACCACGCTGCCGTTCTTGATGGGCATGGGCGTGTACCAGCTCATGAGACACACCTCCTCTGCGTCACATCTCTCTGCTGGCAGGCGGTGAGTACTGAGGCTGCTGGGGCCTTCCAGTAGCCTCCCCCCACGCCGACCACAAACCACTGGGATCCCCCCGCAACTCCCTTCTCAGCCATGGATCCCCCTGGGGCCTCTGTGTGGTCCCATCTGGGCCCCGGAACCTGCTGAGCCCTCGTTAGCTACCCCCCTCCCAGGTCAAAGATCCCTGTGAGGCCCGCAACCACCACCACACCCCTACCTGGTCATAGGCCCCTTGAGACCTAGAACCCAGCTGAGCTTCCCTGGCCACGCCCCACACGGCCACGCCCCACACGGCCACACCCCACGGCCACGCCCCCACCCACCAGGCGGGCTGTGACCCTCCAGGCCCACCTGGGCTGCGGAAAGGGGCTGCCTCCATCTGGATCTGCAGCTGCTCTATCTTCCAGCGATGGAAGTTGACTGGGGACTGGAAGGTGACCAGCACCACCGGCTTCAGCCCTGTCAGATGGCCCTTGCGGACCAGGGCCTCGGAGGACTGAGGGCGAGATGGCCCCACAGGGGTGTCCTTAAGAGAGCCTATGGGTCCCCCTGCCTTGATCCCACCTTTACTAGCCTGCCTTCTTCCTAGGCTGGGTCAGGAGAACAGACTCTCCACCGTGGGAAGGTCAGAGAACATGGTCTAGGTTTGGGGCTCCGGAGGGGGATGGAACCAGTCTAGGAGAGGGGGCGGAGGTGCTTCCGGCTGGGAGGGAGTCAGGAGGTCTTCCCGGAGGTGAGTCCAGAGCAAGGTCCTCAGACAGAAATTAGACGTAGGGAATGCATAGGGCAAGAAAGCATAGGACAAACAAAAATATAAAGGTGGGAGCACCTGGCACCCACAACTACTAGCAGCCTCTTCCCTCACTTCAGGGATTCCATTCTCACTCCTGGGGCTTCTGGTTTAGGGACTGGGATCTGGGGTATGATGGGGCAGTTAGCCCCTGGAGAAAGGCATGGCAAGCTGCTCCAGTATTCTTGCCTGGAGAATCCCACAGACAAGAGGAGCCTGGAGGGGCTACAGTCCATAGGGTGACAAAGAGTCAATCATGACTGAGGTGACTTAGCAAGCAGGCAGGCAGGGGCAGTTATACAGAAAGGAACTAGAGACGAGGGTGACGGGTGGCCAGGGACAACCTCCCAGGAATGCCAGGATCCTGGCTGGGCTAAGAAGGGAGGGCAGGGCTTAGAGCAGCAGTCCCCAACCTTTTTTGGCACCAAGGACCAGTGTAATGGGGAAAATTTTTCCACTGAGCAGGATTGGGGGGTGGGGGGAAGGTTTTGGTATGATTCAAGTGCATTACATTTACTGTGCACTTTATTTCTACTATTATTACATCAGCTCCACCTTGGAACATCAGGCATTAGATCCCAGAGTTTGGGGACCCCTGACTTAGAGTGGAGATGGAAGGAGGAAGACATGTATTCTAGGGTATGTGCTGTGCTGTGCTTAGTCATTCAGTTGTGTCCAAGTCTGCTACCCCATGAACTGTAGCCTGCCAGGGTCCTCTGTCCATGGGGATTCTCCAGGCAAGAATACTGGAGTGGGTTGCCATGCCCTCCTCCAGGAGATCTTCCCAACCCAGGGATGGAACCCAGGTCTCCCACACTACAGAAGGATTCTTTACCGTCTGAGCCACCAGGGAAGCCCATGCATACTGGAATGGATAGCCTATCCCTTCTCCAGAGGATATTCCCGACCCAGGAATCAAACTGGGGTCTCCTGCATTGCAGGTGGATTCTTTACCAGCTGAGCTACCAGGGAAAGCTCATTCTCGGGTATAGAACAGCATTAATATTTCATTTTTTTGGCTGGATCATGGGGTATGCAGGTCCCTGATAAGTGATCAAACCCATGCTCCTGGCACTGGGAGTATGGAGTCTTAACCACTGGACCACCAGGGAATTCTCTAGAAGAGCATTAGCAAAGGCTTGGAGGCATCCCCAAGAGACAGCTGTGCTCAAGTCACTGTGGGCAGGAGTGTGGGGAGAGCTATGAGACACAGGTGGGAGATAAAATGAGTCTGATTCCTTTGGCACAGGCCTTCATCCTGAGGAATGCCTTGGCCAGGGCCCTTTCAATCCTGCCCCCTACACCTGTCCCAGCCCTGCCTCTGGCTTCCAATCACAGGGGAGCAGATGCTGGTGGGTTGGGGAGCTCTTCCCTATCAGGGCTATAGTGGCCACAACTGCCCTGATGCTGTCCACCCTTAACTCTTGCCTGGACCAAGCATCAGCCTCCTCCCTGTCTCCTTGCTCCTGCTCTGCCCCCCATTCAGCCTGTTAACACTTGAATCTCATCACATCCCTCCTCTGTTCAAAACCTCATGGCTTCATCTTACTAGAGAGAAAACCAGGTCTCACTCTCCCCTCCCACTGTCCCCCTCGCTGAGTCTGCTCCATCCACACACGGGCCTCTGGGCAGTTCCTCATATACCGGCCTCGGTCCTATTTCAGGGCAGCTGCACCTGCTGTTCCCTCAGCTCCAGTGTTTTCCCCAGTTCTCTCCCTTTTCATCATTCAGGCCTCTGCTCAAGCTCTTCAGAGACCTTCCCCAAACACTCCAGCTAACACCTTCACCTCATTTTATTTTCATCTTTGCACTGATTACACTAATAAGTTGTTTTCTGTATTTACTTGTCAATTGTCTGCTTCCCTGGTGGGCTGAATCCAGAAGCATCAGGCCATATTGTTTATCACTGTACCGCCTCCCCAACCCATTGTGAAAAAAATAAAAAGGCGGTCTGACTCAGAGTACATGTTGCATGAACAGATAAAGGAATGACTATCAGACTTTCACAGATAAGGAGAGAAAGTTGATAGAGTCAACTCTCGGCCCAGGTCACTCTCTAGAAACTTGTTGCTAGCATTCACTTTCTGTGAACCAGCCACTGTGCTCAGTGCTTCATACATATTTAATCATTTTATGAAGTGGGTATGATCATTATTGTAGCCTTGTTAAGGATGAGGAGACTTTGGTACAGAGAAGTTAAGTGACTTGCCTGAGATCACTCAGCTGTTAGGAGCAGGACTGGGGTTGGAAGCCAGGCAGCCTGGCTCCAGAGCTCAAAGGATTCACTATCATGCTATACTTCCTCCAGATAAATATGAGTCCATGGTAGATTCAAACCCAGGTCTGTAGCCTTCAGAACTTTCAGTTCTAAACCACAGCATTCTGCTTATTTCAGCCAAAACAATTTTAAAGAACAAACTTGAAGGACTCAGACTTCCCAATTTGAAAATTAATACAAAGCTACAGTGATCAAAACAGTGTCATACTGGCATATGGACAGACATATAGAACAATGGAATAGAATTATATCCAGAAATATACCCTTATACTTATAGTCAATTGATTTTTGACAAGGATGTCAAGACAATTCAATGAGGAAAGAATAATCTTTTCAGTCCTGGCATAACTGGATATTCCCAGGTAAAAATTAGACCCCTACCTCACACTGTATACAAATACTAACTCAAAATGAATCAAAGGCCCACATAAGAGCTAAAACAAACAAACAAACTCTTAGAAGAAAACATGGGAGTAAATTTTCATGATCTGTGGTTAGGTAAAGCCTTAGACAACACCAAAAGCACCAGCAACAAATGAAAAAAAAAATAATTGGGCTTTATCAAAAATTAAAACTGTGGTGCCATTGTATGATATGTGAATTATATCTCAATAAATGTAAAGCTTTAGTGTTTTAAAGGACATCACTAAAAAAGTGAAAAGGCATGGAATGTGAAAAATATTTACAAATTATATATCTGAGAAGGAACTACTTTCCAGTATATAAAAAGAAATTTTATAATGTTATAAAAAGACAAATAACCCAGTTTTTAAATGGGCAAAGGATCTGAACAGACATTTCTCCAAAGAAGATAGATAAATGGCTAATGGGCATATGAAAAGATGTTCAACATCATTAGTTACGAGGCAAATGCAAATCAAAACCACACTGAGATGCCATTTCACACATACTAGATGGCAAGAATCAAAGAAATGGACAACAACAAATGACAATATAGACAAACTGGACCCCTCATACACTGTTTATGAGAATGTAAAATGACATGGATTTGCTTTGGAAAACAGCCCAGCAGATCCTCAAAAGTGAAACAGAGTTATCATGTGACCCAGAAATTCCTTTTCTAGGTATATACTGAAGAGAACTGAAAACAGATGCTTACACAAACATGTATGCACATGTTCATAGCAGCATCATTCATAATAACCACCCTCAAAGTGGAAATAACTCAAATCGCCATCACTTAATGAATAGCTAAGCAAAACGTAGCACATCTGTACAACTGAATATTGTCATTGTTCAGTTGCCCAATCATGTCTGACTCTTTGTGACTCCATGGACTGCAGCATGCCAGGCCTTCCTGTCCCTCACCATCTCCCAAAGTTTGGTCAAGTTCAAGTCCATTGCATCAGTGGCTCATCCATAAAAAGGAAATACTGATCCATGTTATAACATGGATGGGTCTTGAAAACGTGTTAAGTGGAAGAAGTCAGATACAAAAGCCCACATATTACTTGATTCCATTCTTTATATGAAATGTCCAGAATAAGCAATTTCACAGAAGTAGAAAACAGTGGTATCCAGGGGCTCGGGAGGGTGGGGGTACAGGGTTTCCTTTTGAGGTGATGAAAATGTGCTGGAACAAGATAGTGGTGATGATTGCACAACTTTGTGAATATACGAAAAACTATTGAACTGTTTTTTGTTTGTCTTTATTTTTGGCTGTGCTGGGCAGCTTGCAGAATTTTAGTTCCCCAACTAGGGATCAAACCTACGCTCCCTGCACACCAAGCCGGGAGTCCTAGCCACTGGACTGCCAGGGAACTCTTGAATTGTATATTTTAAAATGGTGAATTTTAGGACATGTGAATTCTATCTCAATTTTTAAAAATATTTTCTTTACTTTATGAGGAAAATATCTATGTTTCTTTTTCTTTTGACCCCAATATCTGGCACGTGGGATCCTAGTTCCCTGACCAGGAGCCTAACCTGTGCCTCCTGCAGTGGAACCTTTCAGTCTTAATCACAGGACCACCAGGGAAGTCTTTATATATCTCTGTTTTTTTTTTTTTTTTATGGAAATCAAAAGCTAACAAGCACCAACTATGTGCCTGGTGAGATACCAGGAATCTTCTTGAATCTTTAAGGTCCCTGGGGTTCAATGGTGCCATGCCTATTTAAATGTTAGAAAGGGGGAAAACTGAGGCCCCAACAGAATAAGCGTCCCCCGCCCCTGCACCCACTTACCACATCTCCTGTGCAGGAGTAGTTGATCTTCAGGTAGTAAGGAAAGCCCAGGTATGTCTGCAAGGAGATGGTGAGCAAATGTCCAGAGCCCAGAATGGTGCAGCTCCAGGACCTCTCCCATTCGGCTGCCCCCAGTCTCCTCACCTCGTCGGGGTCGACGGGTGCGTCCACTAGCAGGTCGAACACTTTGTCCACTGTGTACAGCTCTTGATCGACGAAATGATCGATCGCGTCGTTCTTGCCTACTGACTCTAAGTTGTTCAAGACAACCTGCCAGGTGCACTCCTGGGTTTCCTGTATCGCCCACAACCTCCACGGTGCCAACAGCACCACCAGCAGTGCCCACAGCGCCCGCGGGACTCGGAGCCTCGGCCACGGAGCAGGGCCAGCAGGAAACATCTCGGGCAAGTGGGTAACGTGGCTTCAACCTGGAGAAGGCGGAGGTCACCAGCCGGCTAGGCTGTTCTAGGTAGGCGCCGTCTTAGATCCCGCCTTATTCCTGCGCCCCGCCCAGTCCCTGCTCCTGGCCCCACCTGTGCTCAAACGTCTGGCCCCACCCCTATTCTTGCTCCTCGCTCCACTCCTACTTTTGCTCCTGGCTCCGGTCCTGTTCTTGCTCCAGGTTCCTCTCCTGCTCTCGCTCCTGGCTTCTCGCCTGTTCTTGCTCCACGTTCCTCTCCTGCTCTCGCTCCTGGCTTCTCGCCTGTTCTTGCTCCATGTTCCTCTCCTGCTCTCGCTCCTGGCTTCTCGCCTGTTTTTGCTCCTGGCTCCGCCTGTGCTCTTGCTCCTGGCTTCTCTCCTGTTCTTGCTCCTGGCTCCACCTCTGCTCCAGACCTCGGGCCGGCAATTACTGCTCTTCCGGACCCCACCTCTGCTGCTACTCCAGGGCTCTCCCCTACTGTTGCTCCTGGCCGTGCCCTTACCCCTGGTTTCGCCCCGCCTCCCAGCCTCACCCCTTAACCTTGCCCTATCCTTCTTTCCTCTGCCTCTGCTCTGCCTCCGACCCCTACTCTTCAGTCGGTCTCTATTTCTGTTTCTCGGTTTAGCTATGCCCCACCTATTGCCCCCAGTTCCTCTCCTCGCAAACCTGAGCCTGGCTCCGCCCCCACGTCTTGCCCCGCCCCCCCACATTTCTCCGCACCGCCCCTTTCTCCGTGCTCGGGCCCTGCCCAGGTACCAGATCCTGCCTCTAGACCCGTCCCTCTCCCGAACCTGCGCCTTCCCCACGCCCCACCTCTTCCCCTGTCCTCGCTTCGATTTCTCGCCTGTAGCTTGCCCCTCGCTCGGCTTCTGCGCCTTGTCCCTCCCCTTATCGACCCGCCCTCCCCCCTCATCCTGGGGGAGGTGGTCTTCCCAAGCCCGTTCCTTGCCCCGCCCCCTCCTATGACCCCGCCCCTTCTCGGTGGAGACCGTTTCTTTGCCTCGGGAACTCTCCTCGCCGTTGGCCTTCCGCTCGCTCCGCGCCCTCTCTGCGCCCTGCACCTCCTCGTTCCCTGCCGGCGCTGCCTTGTCTGTCAGCACTTTCTCGGTCCTCACCTTCCCCCTGAAACGCGGTACCTTGTCTCCTCCCCTCGTCTTCTCGCCACCTCTTTCCATGCCCTGGACAGCCCAGCTCTAAGCTCCGCCTCTTCTAGCCCCGCCCCTATGCATCGCCCGGCTCCTTCTCTCCGCCTCTCCAGGCTCCTCGCCCCGCCCTCTCCCCGCCCCGCCCCTTCTGTGCCCAGTCCCTGGACTCTCCTCCTTTTCCTCAGCCTTTCCCCGCCTCTCCTCCCCCCGCCCCTCTCCGCCCCTTCTTAACCCCGCCCCCACCCCCCGCATCCCTCCCAGGGAGGCCCCAGACCTCCCTCTTCTCCCTGCCCGGTGGTACCAGTCACTAAGTTAAAACCGGTCAACCGTCACTCTGCCGCTCCAGTCCCGCCCCTCTTGCCCGATCTCAAAATGGCCGCCTACACTTCCACAACCGACTTCTGCCTTTCGCGAGGCACGCCAGCTTCACCCGCCTGTCTCCGTGGCAACGCGCTTCCAGACTAGCGCTTACGGCTTACGGGACAGAGGGAGGGAGAAGCTCAACACTCGCGCGGGCCCAGGACTGCTGAGGGAACTGCGGACGAAGTTTGTGTTAGGAAGGCCTTCAGGGAGTTCCTATTGGTGATTCTGGCCTGTTTATCCTTCTACCCAATCAGACTTTGCTATCACAATTCTAGTGAAAAAAAAAAAAAAATTAGGGCCGTGTGGGAAATTAATCTGACTGCGGCTTAACACCCTCATCTGCAGAACAAAGACAAAGGCAGTGATCTCATAGCGTTGTCTTGAGAAGTCAACAAGATAACACGTGAAGAGTACCTGGCACAAATAAATACTCAATAAGTTAACAGTTTTCATTGGTACTCTGACGCCCAACAGTTAAGGACTCAGACCGTCTTTATTTTATTTTGCTGCTGAGATAATAGTTACCCCACCAGTGACTGAACCCGGGCCCCCTGCAGTGGAAGCCTGGAGTCCTTGCCACTGAACCGCCAGAGAATTCCCCAGACCATGACTTTTTGATGGACTGCAAAGCTGACTTTAAACTCCAGTAGTTTTCACACTTCAGAGTGTATTAGACTCAATCAGAAGGGCTTGTTAAAACACGTTGTTAGGCTCCACCCCCAGGGGTTTAGATCCCCTTAAGTCTTTAGATGGGGCTGATGATTATATTCCAGGTGATGCTGATACTAATGGTCTGGGGACAACACCCTGGGAACCTTCCATACCTCCCCAGAACCCCAGGGAAACATCCAAACTAAATTGTTTTCCAGAGCTCTGCATAAGCTGATGCCTGTTGTCCCTCCTATCCACTCACCTGTTGCTCTCTCTGTGGTCCAAAGCAGTCTTGAATATCCTTGACCCAGTATGTTGGCTCTCCTCCAGACTGTGCACACACTATAAACCCCTTCTGGAATACTATTCCCTACTTTGTCACCACCTGACCGCTTTCCTGCCTTCATGTCTTGTCTGTGATACAGAAGCAGCCCTCATCCCTCCCCTCACCACACTAGGCTATGGCTGCCGAGGAATGGGTCTCTGTTTCCCACTGCATCGCAGGCTCTGTGAGGGCAGGGCCTGGGGCTTTGTCTATCACTGTTGTTTCCAATTTTGTGCAACACAGTGCAGAATTAGTGTTCCCTGTAAATAAAGAGCTGATGAAAGTCTGTGCCTCCCCCCACCCCCTAGCCCATCCCCACAGACCAGGAAGGGTGACTTCATCTGAGGGAAGAAACCCAGCAGCTGTGTACCTGAGCCCTTCTAGACTCACAGAAGCAGAGAGACTGGGGTGTCCTCATGGTACCCACGACTTTGGAATATAACCGCACCAGGAGAAAGTCCCCCTGTTACTTACATGCCCAAGGTACACCCTACAGCCTCATTTATGCTAGCAAAAGACTAGCAGCCACCCACATGTCCATTAATGAAACATGGAAATAACTTGGACTTCCCCAGTGGCTCAGTGGTATCGCCTGCCAGTGTGGGAGCCGCAGGAGATGCAGGAGACATGGGTTCGATCCCTAGGTCAGGAAGAGTCCCTGGAGTAGGAAATGGCAACCCACTCCAGTATTCTGTGGGATGTGTGTCCTAAAGGAGGCAGAGCAGACATAAAAAAGGATATAAGGGACTTCCCTGATGGCGCAGTGGATAAGAATCCACCTGCAATGCAGGGGACACGGGTTTGATCCCTGGTCTGGGAAGATTCCACATGCTGAGGAGCAACAAAGCCCATGCAACACAACTTCTGAGCTGATGTGCTGCAACTACTGAAGCCTACAAGCTGTAGGGCCTGTGAGCCACAACTAATGAGCCCCTGTCCCACAACTGCTGAAGCCTGTGCTCTGCAATGAGAAGCCCGTGTACTGCAACAAAGGGTAGCCCTTGCTCACTGCAACTAGAGAAAGCCCACACACAGCAATGAAGACCTAGTGCAACCCCAAATAAAAATAAACTAAAAAGGATATGAGACTTACTCGTGTGCCTCTGAAATGATCTCTGAATGACATTGGGTTGGTAAAAAAAAAACAAAAACAAAAAAGCAAGGTATAGAAAGAATATTAGAAAAGCATATAAAAATTATATGTGTATATATGAGACATATAATATGAAAAAGATGCAGAAATGAGGCGATATTTTATTGAGCACCAGACACTGTTCTAAGATCTTTACAGATATTGCTTAATTCTCCAACAAGTCCATGAGGTAGGTGCTGTTACACCATTTCACAGATTGGCAAACAGCACAGGAAGGTGAAATGAGTGGCCCAAAACCACAGACTTGGGAATGATGACAGAGTTCAGATTTATACCCAGGGACTTTGCCTCCAGAGTCTGTGATTGTAATTAGCTCACCATATAGTACCACTTTTGCAGAGTGAAAGAAAAAAAATTAATGACACACATATACACACAGGTATATTGCTGGTACATGCCTAGGAGACCTGAGAAAATCTGTCATCACAGCCCACATACAGGAGAAAGACTTATTTCTATTGAATATTCTTCTACTTTTTCCATTTTTAAGTGTGCACTTTTTTTTTTTTTTAAGTATCTGAAATGAGCAGGGCCTGGTTTCTTTTGGAGGAAGGAATTTGAAAGGAGAAGTGGTGGGGAGCAGAAGCCAGATCACACAGGCACCTTCTTCCCTCGAGCAACTGCCCCTCACCAAGCTGCTGACTTTAGCAGCAGGGTCAACAACTTTGCTGAGAAGCCAGGAAGGGTGGGAGACTAAGAAAGAACTAGACAGTGGATATTTCTGAGCCTCCATGTGACAAGGTGACCAAAAAACCAAAAATCCTCATGTAAATCCCAGTCTTGCACTTTCTGTGTGATCTTGGATAAGTTATTTAACCTCTCTGGGCCTCCTGTCCTCATCTGCAATATGGCGAATGTAACTAACTCACAGAGTTGTTGAGAGCATAAGATAAATTCTGGTGTATCAAGAGCTTGGAAGAGTGCCTGGCAGGTAGTAAATCCTATATAAGTGTTCTGTCTCATGTTATTAAAATGATTTTGTGTGACTCCTTAGCATCATTTGACAATGTTGACTTTTCCCTTTTTAAAAGTCTCTCATCTCTCACCAATATTTCCCACTCTTCTGGTTTTCCTACTCCTCTCTCGAACTTCCTTTCTGTCTCTTTTGTAAGTTCTTCTCTTTGGTTGAGGGGTCATTGCTCATCATATGGGACTGTGTTAATAGGAAAAAGAAGTACCCCCTGAAAAAAAAGAAAAAGAAGTCCCCTTTGGGTATACTCAGCCTTGAACTTCAGCCCCAATTTGTTACCAGCCTGCCGGCCAGGTAACCCTTATGCAGGTCCCAACCTGCATAATTAGACATCATCATCCTGGCTGACTAGTTTATTGACAGCTCCCATTCTCCCAACTTTCTGCCTTTCTAATAGAAGCCCAGTTTTGTTCAAGTATTTACCAGCCTGCAAACTAAAACCTCAGCCCCAGCCTCAGTCCCTGGTGACAGGGGGAATCCTGAGGAATTCAAGCTAATCATAGTGATGCCATGATCACTCTGGCTGATGACTGATTCAGGAGCCAATTTTGGTCAATGATATGGAAGAAGAAGTCTGCTGGGAGACACTGGGAAAAGGTTTCCTTCTTTTCAAAGAAGCACCATGGGAAGACACACCCCTTTCCCTCTTCTTGCACTAAAAATTAACATGTCTTATTGTGATGCCTGGACCTGTGGCAGCCACTTTGTGGCCACGAGGACAGCCCATGTGGGAGGCAAGCCTTCAGCTGAGGGTAACAGAGCAGAGAGAGAGGGAACCAGGGGCCACAAGACTCTCTTGGAGTTGTGAACTGTATCAAACCCAGAGGTCTCTCTAACTCGGGTGATATACAGTATACAATCATCTCACTGTTTCAGTCAGTGGCAGTCAGGATTGTGTTACTTGCAACCCAAATCTTTCCTTACTGATATTATATATATATACACACACACACACACACACACACACACACACATACATATGTATATACATATATATGTGTATATATGTGTGTGTGTGTGTGTGTGTGTGTATACACACACCCTATGGCTGATTTCTCAAGGCCGGTCTTCTCTCTTTATTCCCACCCAGGGCTGTCAATACCCACCTTCATAGTCTTCGTTTCCTCACCTGTCTGCAGCCTCAACCACCCCCTAAGTCGTCGCTCCAAGGGTCCTGTGACTTCCTGCTGCCTTCTCCTGGGTGTCCCTTTAGCCACCATATTCCAAAAGAGCCTCAATATCTCCCTACAAATTTCTTTTCTCACAGGTCCCCCACCTCGGGGGCAGCTGAGCATGGTTAGACTTTTTCCTGGCCTTGTCCCTCCCAAGTCTGTAAGGCTTATGGCCCGTCCACCTGGCCTTCTGAGCATCCCTTGACTTGCCCCCTCCTCCCCTTCCCTCGGCCTCACCCAGTCCCATTGTCTCCTGCTTCATTCCTGCCCCAGCCTCCCCTGGGCACCCAGCCTCAGTCTCCCCCCTACCCCATATAAGTACCGCTCACTAACCGATTGCACCACTGGAGCTTCCTCCCCCCCACCCCATAAACACACAGCAGCAAAAGCCCAAACCTAACCATGGCCCTCTCCTGCTCAAATCTCTTCCATGGCTCTCTAGTGCCCTCAAGAAAGAAGCCAAGTTCCCAAGATGGTCATTTAAGGACACTTACAATATGCCCACATCCAATGATAATACTGCATTATCTTCCTCATGTGTAAAGTACCCAGAACAGGGCCTAGCCAAAGAAATCATCCCAGAATAACATAGCAGGTGCTGTGAAACCATCTTTTGAACTATTATTATTGCCATTTTACTGATGAGGAAACCGAGGAAATAGGGGCAAAATGACCACCCAAAGACACAGGCAGGACACTGCTGAGTTGGGATTTGAGCCCAGGCAGGCTGGCTCCGGCTGGAGAAGGGCATGGCAACCCACTCCAACATCCTTGCCTGGAGAGTCCCACAGACAGAAGAACCTGGCAGGCTATAGTCCATGGGGTCGCAAAGAGTCAGACACGACTGAGCGACTAACACACACACAGGCTGGTTCCAGAGCCCAGGGAATGTAATATAATTAGTTCTTGGTAAACAGGAACAGCTGTTATGATAGTGTCTCACTAAAAGCAATACCTTCCATACTGGGCTAGGATCCCGTCTCAGCTTCCTGGAAGACTCTATTATGCAGGCCGACCCCAGGCATATCCAAATATGTCTAGCTCCCTGGACACACTGGAGGAAAATGAATCAGGTACACCTTCTTCCCCAGACTGACTACTCTTCAGATTTCAGGTCTGAGTGCAGTTGCCCCTTCCTCCAGGAAGCCCTCCCTGACCTCCCTGGCTGGATTGGGTACATTCCCTGTGCTTCCTCTACCCCAGCCCTGACCACTCTGCCCACCTTCCCCCGCCCCCACTAATGAAGTCCTGCCTATTATGAACTGTCACTGTACGGGAGACAGGACAGCGAGCCCCATGAGAGCAGGGCCCAGAGCATCTGGAACACTGTGGTGGCCCCAGTGCTGCCCAGCATGGATTGGCACAGAGGAGGGAGTTTTGAATGAGGGAATATATTCTTTATACTTGACCCAAGAGGTGAATCAAGGCTCAGAGGGGGCCAGTCACTGGCCCGAGGTGAAGTGATCATATAGCACCTGAAATGAGGTCTGAGCTCAGAGCCTGGGAGAATCGGCAGGTGATGAGTGGCTACTCGAGTGAGAGAGGCAGATGGCGCGAGGAAAAGCCTGAGAAATACAGAGACGATGAAAAAGTCAGGGAAGCACAAAGTGTGCGGGGAGGTGATCGGAAGGGTGGGGGAAAGAAGGCAGTGCTGCTTCCTGGATCCGGGCGGTGCTCAGGCCGGTCAGACAAGGGCAGACACTGGAGGCAGGGCCTCAGGAACACTAGAGTGTGCTTGTAGGTGGGTGAATCCATCAGTTCCAGTCCTGAGGGCCCCTCAGCTGCAGGCCTGGTCTGCAGCTGCCCTGACACTTGCCCCAGCTACCTGGGGATGGAGGCGTAGTCCACGTGAGAGCCGGCGGTGAGCTGCTGGTGTGACTCGGGCTCAGGGCTCAGGATGTCTGCCCGATCATCCTCCTCCTCGAAGCTGGCGGGGCACGGAGTGGGCAGCAGGATGAGCTCTGTGAGGCCGTGGAGGTCAGACACACGGCGGAAAGTCTGTACCAAGAGCACCATGGCGACCAGGCCCAGGAAGAGGTAGACTGCAGAGATGGCAGAGAGGCGATGAGTGGACCCAGACCGCCCAGGTCATGGCCATGGGGCTACGGGATCCCCCAGGATGGGGCTGCAACTCTCAGTGCCCCATCCCTCCCGGACGGGGCCAGGCCCCCCTCACACCAGCCCTCAGTCCCCAGGCAGCCACCCCACTCACCTGTGACTAACAACTTGTAGACGGCCCGATAGGGCTGGCCGGGGGCCTCTCCCGGCACGTAATCTCCCAGGCCGATGGTGGACAGAGAGATGAAGCAGAAGTAGAAGGCGTCCAGGAAGCTCCAGGCCTCTTCAAGGTGGGCAAAGACGGCAGCTGGCACCAGGAAGCAGAGGGTCACCATGACCCCCAACAGGATGGCCAGGTGCCAGCGGGCTGCCTTCCGGGGGGCACAGCCCCAGCGCTGGCTCACCCAGGACAGGGGCGCGTGGGTGAGCAGCAGCGACAGGCGCTGGGCAGAGGCGGTCAGTAGCAGCATGGTGGCTGGGACGCCCAGGAGTGCAAAGGCGATGGAGAAGGCCTTGCCCCCGTCGGTCAGAGGCGTCGTGTACCCGTAGCCTGTGGGAGTCAGGGGGAAATCCTTCGGCCCACTCAGCATCCACTCTGGGGTCTGTGATTGCCCTAAACTGAGGACTAATTTCAGCCTCAAAGCCACCCCTCCCAGACTGTCTTATCTCTGGCAATGGCACCTCCACCCTCCCCACGGCTCAGGCTGAGAGCCTGGTGTCATCTTTGGCTCCCTTCTCACTCACATCCACTCTGTTGTCTCAACCTTTGCACAGAGCCCAAACCCACCCACTTTCCCCCTCACTTCACAACAAGGCTTCATCCTGGTCCTGTCTACCAGCAGCCTCCTCCCTGGTCTCCCTTCTCCCCGCCATGCAGCCAGAGGGACCCTGTGAACACGGGAGTCAGGTCATGTCCCTTCCCTGCTCAGGGCCCTCCAGTGGCTCCATCCCAGGTCAAAGCACTTTGTCTGGTGACCCACGGGACACCACACAATCCAACAGGGCAGCACGTGCCCTGCAGGGGATGCAGGTTCTATCAGGGGTCCGGGAAGATCCCACATGCTGCAAGGCAACTAAGCCTGTGCACACCTACTGGAGCCCACATGCCCCAGAGCCCATGTTCCACAATGAGAAGCCCACACATCGCAACTAGAGAGTAGCCCCCACTCTCCTCAACTAAAGGAAACCCACGTGCAGCAATGAAGACCCAGGGCTGCCAGAAATAAATAAATTTTTAAATGGGTGTGACAAGCCCCACCGTGCTCTTGGAGGGTCAGTTTGGGTGTGAGTTCTGCAAGCAGAAATATGACTAAGGGGAATTCAGGTGTTGGTGAAACTGGCTCACTTTGGCAATGTGTACTTTCCCAAATGAATCAAACCAAAGGGTCAGAGATATGACTGGGGTGGTAAGGGGCCTGATTTATGTTGACAGTAAAATGTCTTGCCCAAAATACTACAGATCCAGCCTTGTGGTTCATAAGAAAGTGTGAAAGCATTGCCCATAGGAGCAGGCTTTCCCCTGAGCCCATCTTCCATACAAAAGGATCCCCTGGCTCTGACTTTTTTAAAAAACAACAACAAAAAAGTATTTATTTATTTGACTGAGCCAGGTCTTCTTAGCTGAAGCATGGGGGATCTAATTCCTTGACCAGGAATCGAACCCGGGCCCCCTGCATTGAGAGCGTGGAGTCTTAGCCACTGGACCACAGGGAAGTCTCACCCTGGCTTTTATATAGTCAAAGGAATTGAAAGCAGGGGCTCAAGAGATACCTGCGCAGCCATGTTCATAGCAGCATTCTTCACAATAGTCAGAAGGTGGAAACAGCCCTTGTGTCCACCGATGGGTGAATGAATCAACAAAATGTAAGTACAAACAATGCAATATTATTCAGTCCTTTGAAGGAAGGAAATTCTGACACATGCTACAACATGGGTGAATCTTGAGGATATTATGTTAAGTGAAATAAGCCAGTTGTCAAAAGACAAAGCCTCTGCAATTCCATTTATATATGGCACTTAGTGCAGTCAAAATCATCGAGACAGGGGACTTCCCTGGTGATCCACTGTCTAAAACTCAGCACGCTCCCAATCCAGGGGGCCTGGATTTGATCCCCAGTTAGGGAACTAGATCCCACATGTCGCAACTAAAGATTCTGCAGGCGGCAATGAAGACTGAAGATCACGTGTTCTACAATTAAGATCTGGTTACAGCCAAATAAGTGGATTAATTTTTAAAAACAATAAACATTAAAAAAATCACAGACACAGAAAGTAGAACAATGGTTGCCAGGAGTCGAGGAGAGGGGTAAGTGGGGAGTTAGTGTATACAAGGGTATAGATTCAGTTTTGCAAGATTCAAAGAGTTCTGGCGACTTCCCTGGGGGTCCAGTGGTTAAGAATCCACCTTCCAATGCAGGGGATGTGGGTTCTACCCCTGGTGCCGCTGAGAAACTAAGATTCCACATGCCTCGGGGCAATTAAGCCTGTGTACCACAACTAAAGAGAAACCCCGACACCGCAACAAAGACCTAATGCGGCCTAAATACATAAATAAATATTAAAAAAATAAAAGTAAAAAGAGTTCTGGAAATGGGTGCTGGCAATGGTTGCACAGCAATATGAGTATACCTAATACCACTGAACTGTACACTTAAAAATGGTTAAGATAGTAAATCTGATGTTTATTTCGCCCCAGTTTAAAAAAAAAAACTAGGGAAAAATAAAGGATCTTCTAGATCTTGCTGGACACGTGGCTAACGGGAAAAGACATTCCCTCTTTCAGTGCAGCTAGGTGTGGTCTGGAATAATTTATGGCCAAGGAGATACAGACAAAAGAAGCAAGCATCTTCAGGAAGTGTCCTTAAAGATAGGGAGATGCCTATCTCCCTTCTTTACTCCCTCCTCCTGCTGACTAGATCACAGATAGGAAGGCTGGAGCTGAGCAGTCATCTGGGACCATGAGATGAGCTTGGGAATAGAAACCGCGCCTGGCCTAAGAGTTATATTGGAACCTGAGGGTCTCTGACCAAGCAGCACCATTCTGGTCTTGGACTGACTCCCTTGAATATGAGCAAGAAATAAATTCCCATTATATGTAAGCAACTATTATTTGAGGTTTATCACTTATGGCTCCAAGCTTTATTAATACAAGGATTTTGATGGAGAAACTCCAGCAACCTGGCTGAAAGGACAGGTTTGCAAATGACATGTAATTCTTATAAACAGAAAAAATCAGAGCTAGAATAGAGTGGAGAGGGGGCCTTCGCTGGTGGTCCAGGGGCTAAGACTCTGGACTCCAAATGCAGAGGGCTGGGGTTCGATGCTTCGTCGGGGAAGTAGATACCACATGTCACAACTAGGAGTTCTCATGCTGCAGAGAAGATCGAAGATCCCTTGTGCCCCAGCTTTGACCCAGGGCAGCCAAAAATTTAAACAAATACTTTTGAAAAACTAGTGAATATTTAAAAAAGAAAGAAAGAAGAACAGAATGTGGGCTATGAGCCTCAACTTGCTACTTCCAAGAGTTGAGTCCAAAGCAGTGCTTTGTTATTTGGTCCCTGAGTGATGCTGGCCAAGTGACTTCTCTCTGAGCCTCAGTTTCCTCAGAGCACTTGAAAATGGCCTCATAAATGATCCCTTCCTTGAGTACAGGTTGGGACAGGGCATGAAAACAGTCAGAAAGACTGTGATGCTCTCTCCCTCTCCGCATTCCCAGTTCCAAGCAGGCTGACTCCTCCAGCCCAGACCTCAATCGCAAGGCTGCCTGGACTAGCTCCAGGCCTCAGATCTTCCTCAAAAGACTAGGGCCTGCGACAAGCCCAGGAACGCTGTGGGAGAGGCCTCTCTGAATGTTGTCGGGTTTTCCATTTCTCTAGATATATTCAGGGCTCCCAGCTTCATCAACAGCACTAGTGATAAATGAGGCTCTGTCAATCTCGGTTATTATCACTGGCATGTCTCATGGACACAGCCTTCCTGCTTGACCAAGCTTGAGTCAGGCCCCTCTGAGTTCTCTTAATGACAAAGCCTGGTTTTAGCAGGAATCCCAAGTTAAGAATCTGCCTGCAATTCGGGAGATGTAGGTTCAGTTCCTGGGTCAGGAAAATCCCCTGGAGAAGGGAATGGCTACCCACTGCAGTATTTGTGCCTGGAGAATTCCATGGACAGAGGAGCCTGACGGGCTACAATCCATGGGATTCCCAAGAGTTAGATGCAATAATGCCACTAACACTAAGTTTATTTAAGGAGAATCCCCCACACTTGACATCTGATCAAATTTCTCATTATCCACCACTTGTATTGAAGCTCTTGGCGGTCTTTAACAAGAATCCTATTAAGCCAGTTTAGCAAGAATCCCCCTACTGTCCATGTCTCCTCTTAGTACTTTTCCATCCACTGCTGCTGCTGCTGCTAAGTCACTTCAGTTGTGTCTGACTCTGTGTGACCCCATCCCTGGGATTCTCCAGGCAAGAACACTGGAATGGGTTGCCATTTCCTTCTCCGATGCATAAAAGTGAAAGTGAAGTTGCTCAGTCATGTTCAACTCTTCGCGACCCCATGGACTGCAGCCTACCAGGCTCCTCCGTCCATGGAATTTTCCAGGCAAGAGTACTGGAGTGGGGTGCCTTTGCCTTCTCCGTTTCCATCCACTAGTCCCCTCCTGCTCTCAGCTCTAAATCTCCAGCTGTCTTTGCTATACTCTGAATTGAGGTCAATCTCTCCCCTATTGCAATAACTTACCATTTTTAAGGACTGTCAGAAATTTTTTTACAATATACATGTATCACCCTTCATCATTCATGGAAGCTGAAGAAGTAGTATGGTGCACTGGTTAAGAGCATGGGGCTCTGGGGAATTCCTTAGTGGTCCACTGATTAAGACTCCATCTTCCAATGCAGGGGACTTGGGTTCAATCCCTGGTTGGGGAACTAAGATCCCACATGCCACAGGGCAACAAACCTCATGTGCCACAACTACTGAGCCTGTGTGCTCTAGAGCCTGTGCTTCACAACTAATGAAGCTCTAATGCCACAACAAGAGAAGCCTGCATGCTGCAACTAGAGAAAGACCACGTGCCACAACAAAGACCCGGTGCGTCCAAAGTTTAAAAAAGAAACTTTTTTTTAATTAAAAAAAAGAGCATGGAACTCTGAGGCCTGACAGCCTCGGTTCAAATCTGCACTCTACACTTCCTAGCTGTGTGGCCTTGGACAAGTTGTTCAACCTCTCTGGGCCTCAGATTCTATTGCTAAGAAATAGCACCACAAACAGCACCTGGCTCACAAGGCTTATTGTGATGAGTGAGTTAAAATCTGTATGTGGTGTGGTTAAGTCTTGTACCAGGTCTTACTATTACTGTGAAGTAGGGAGTGTGATTATCCCCATTTTACAGATGATGGAGGACACAGAGGACTAGAGATCAGTAGTGTGTGAACAGGAATCTGAACCTGTGCCTGCCTTGAGTTTGGCTTTTTCACCTGTCCTGCCTGGGATGACTTCTCAGAAGGCAGGATCTGGGAGGAGACAGAGGGAGAGAGAAGCCCCAAAGCAGGTTGGGCAGGCCCAGCCAGCAAGTGGGCAGCGTTTGTGAGATCCAGCCCGGCTGCCGTGGCCTGGTTTGCTGGTCCACTTGACAGTGACAAAGGCTGTCACAGTGACAAACGGCAAAGGCTATTGTCAGCAGGGATAGGGAGTTAGGAGTCTGGGCTAGACGAGCCCCAGACCACTCCCCTAGTCCAAATCCTAACATGCTCATTTCCTAAGCCATGTCCAACTCTTTGCGACCCCATGGACAGTTGTTGCCCACCAGGCACCAACTGTCCATGGAATTTTCTAGGCAAGAATACTGGAGTGGGTTGCTATTTCCTTCTCCAGGGAAATCTTCCCAACCCTGGGATCGAACCTGCATCTCCTCAGTCTCCTGGATTGGTAAGCAGATGCTTTAACACTTGAGTCTCCTGGGAAGCCAAATCCTAGCAAAGAGGGAAAGAGGAAGTTTGGGGGCTGGGGAGGGGTTGTGGGAGGACCAGAAGAGCCTGACAAACAAAGGGATTTTCCAGATCTGAGGGGAGTGGAGGTGAGGGGTTTCCCAGGTAGGGCTGAGGGGTGGGGTGTGTGTTGGTCCTACTTGAGGCTGTAGGGATCCAGAGAAGGGGATCTGTGGGGTCCAGTTAGTAATCTGAAATCAGAGGCCAGTGTCTTGGTTTGAAACAGATTCTGGTTTGGGGCTGGGGTCCTGGGTCCAGAGGAAGAAGGGGGACAGGCACCAGTGGGATTACAAATGGGATTAGGAGGGGGGGTTCTCAGGTAGAGGGGGCTTCTGAGCCCAAGGATGCCTGAGGCAACATGATGGGGGGAGACAATGCTAAGGGGATGATGGGAGGGGGTATGTGTCTCATGTCCTGGCTGAGAGTGTCCAGGGTGGAAAGTGGTAATGGTCTTCAGTGAATAGTGGGGAGGGTTCTGGGGTTCAAAGTGCCTGGAGCATCCTTGATGGAGGGAGAGTTCAAACCAGGCTGGGACAGAGTTGGGGCAAAAGGTCCCAGCTGTGGGTCTAGAAGAGACTGAAGGGGTCTCAGGTCCCAAGGAGGTTCCCTTTCTTGGGAAATTCAGGGTGGACAGGGGGAGTCTAGGAGCAGGGGTAGCAGGTTCGGAGAGAGTCCCTGGGCTGGTACCCTGGTTGGGGGGATAGGTGGATTCTTGTGTCAAGGATAGCCTGTGTGACCAGCGTTGGGATCCCAGGTATTCTGGGGCTCTTACAAGGAGTATCTGGGACCAGAGATTGGTGACAGTCTCAGCTAGGGTTGTCAAGTTCAAAGAGGCCCCTATAGAATTCCCTGGTTGTCCAGTGGTTAGGACTCTGAGCTTTCACTGCAGAGGGCACAGGTTAAATCCCACATGCCGGTTGGAGAGGTCAAAATAAATAAACAGAGGACCCCATCAGAGTTCCTGGTCTGAAAAACAGTAGGGGTTTTTGCTGGACCTGTTTTGGAATTGGAGGGGTGGGAGTCCTGGGTAGGGACCTTCCAGTTAGAAAGTCAGTGATTTTTCCTGGAAGGCGCTCAAGTTCTCTCCCATACTTCCACAGCCGAGGGCTGCAGAATTGGAACTCCCAGGTTTAGAGGAAACGGGGGTGTCCCTATTGGAGGGCTCCCCCAATACAAAAGAGATGCCAAGGAGTGGGATATGTGAAGAGGGGTCCTGTGTCTAGAGTCAGGGCTACCTGCAGGGAAGTATGACAATGGTCAGGAGGAAGGCAAGGGGCCCTTGCTGGGGAGTGGTCTAGGTCCAGAGGGGTGGAAGTCTGAGATGCGGCCCCGGGTCTTTGCTGAGGGATCTCTGCTGGCAGTAAGGTCTTTAGTGATGGTGCCTGGAGAGGGTCTGGAGATTCAGGGTCCTCACTAGGGCACCAGGGTCGGGAGGACATTGGGGTAAGGCTTCCAGAAGGACACATCCCAGAAGGATGTATCTGCAGTCGGGAGACGGTGTTGGAGGGGATGGAGGTCTGAGCCAGAGAGAAGGGCGGAGGTCCTGGCTGGCTGACGGGGAGAAGGTCTCAGGCAGCGGGCACTGAGTTAGTTCCCAAAGGAGGTCTCTGAGGATTGTTCTCGGCCTAGACGGGGCTAGACGCAGGTCTCCAAGGCAGAGGGAGGGAGCCCGAGATGCTTGCCAGAAGATACTCTGAGAATGGCCCTGGACCCCAAGCGAACTGCGGGACTTCCTCCTGGGAGGAAAGGTCTGGATAGGGACTCCTCAAGGTGGAGGATCCCACAAGTGTGGGTCCCAGGTTCTCATCGAGGGGTTTTGAGGGGATCCTGGGCTCAGAGTTAATTGAGAATGATCTGCTGGGATCGGGATATTTCGTAGTGGCTCTGGGCTCCCTAGGGAGGCGAGGGGGAGCAGGGGCTCGGGGCGGCGCTCACGTACCCACGGTGGTGACCAGCGTGCTGGCGAAGAAGAGAGCCGAGGCGAAGTCCCAGGCGGGGTCCGAGGCGTTGGCAGACCCGGAGGCGTTAGCGAGCGCGGCGCGCCCCAGCCGTCCGGCCGCCAGCACCCGCTCCACGAAGGCGTCCAGGGCGGGGGCGGCCACACACGGGCTGCGCCGCAGCAGCTGCTGGCGCAGCATCCGCAGCTCGGCTCGGAGGCGGGCTTCGTGCGGCCCCTCCAGCCGGGCCACCAGCAGCGCGCCCAGCACCAGGTACACGATGTATGCTGCCAGGGCGCCCGCCAGGAGCGCGCCCCGCCGCATGGCTCAGCCGGCCAGCCCGCCGAGGCCCCCGCCGCCCCGTTGACGTGGCCCCTGCCTCCCGATCGTCCGGCGCCCAGCTTCAGTTCCGGGAGTGCTCGACGCGCGGCCACCAGTGACCCAAAGAGGAAGAAGAGAAAAAGGGGAGGGGCGGGGGTGGAGGAAACTGAGGCACGCCCCACCGCCAGGTGTGGGCACCGAGGGGGAGGAGCCCAGCGCTCACGGACCTAGGAGACCGGCGGGGTGCTTCCTCCCCCGAGCGGGCGGCTCCCTATGCCAGAGAGAATCCGAACTCTTTTACGCCCGCGGACCGAGGAGTCGCTGCCCGACTGCGCCGCACCCGCGCGCTTGGCTGAGGGGCCAGAGGAACAAACTGAAATCCAGCCCTCAATCCATTCGTCAAGTCGTGCGTTCTGAGGCGGGAATGCATCCACCTGGAGGGGACGCCACAAAGGGGGACTCCACAGGACCAGGTGTCACCTGTGCCCTCACAGACTGGGGATCATTAGCTATTCACTAAATCTTTGCTCAGCGCCCACTTTGTGCCCGGCCCTTTGCTGGCTGATGCCAGGGAAACAGCAGCGACCAAGGCTGTCCTGGGTCCTACCCTCAGGGGGGCTCCCAGCACTTCAACAGAGTGACAGACCAGAGGGTCAGGGGCTGTGATGAGGGAAGCAGAGTGACAGGGGCTGGGAGGGCGATGCCTACAGGACTGTGGAGCCAGGACTCATAACTGAGAGACCAGAACAGTTCCAGTTCCCCAGAAAAGACGATGTCTCACAGGAGGAAAGGGAAAGCCACAGTGACAGGGTCACTTGCTGACATCCTTCCGGAATACTATCACTCCTCAGAAGTCATTTCTACCATTATCTTTGCCTGAGATAACTGGAGGAACTGAGGGACAGAAAAGGGGAGGCTGAGGGGGTCAAAGAGGAGGAGACAGAGTTAGATAGGGGGAGACAGAGGGCAGACACAGGAGAGACTAAAGTAACTTAATTTTCAGGGCTTCTCACTAGCAGGTGTGCCTGTGTGCGCTCAGTTGCCGAGGGTCATAGTGTTTTTGGCAAACCAGGGAAACCAGGTTTCAACACAGGAGCATTTTTATGAATTTTGGGAGAAACGTCTAAAGATATTGTTAAAGAGAAAACCAGAGACCCCAAATGTGTCACTTGTGCTAAAGCCCATGATACCAACACATCATTGAAAGTCGCTCAGTCATGTCCAACTCTTTGCAACCCCATGAACTATACAGTCGGGGGAATTCTTCAAGCCAGAATACTGGAGTGGGTAGCCTTTCCCTTCTCCAGGGTATCTTCCCAACCCAGGGATTGAACCCAGGTCTCCTGCATTGCAGGTGGATTCTTTACCAGCTGAGCCACCAAGGAAGCCCCATGATACCAAACCTAGATTTTAATATCTGACCTAGTTGCAATTTTGTCCTTCCGCAGGAAGGTAATCTTAATCTGCCCGTTTGGAATTTCCTGGTCAGCACCAGTGAGGTAATCTGTCATGTGGGACCTCTCCATTTCTACACTCCCCACTCCCACCCCCAAATCCCACCTACAAAAGTAAAAGTATTCTACAAGATAGATTCTTACCTTCCCCCTAAAATAAGGTGACCTGGCCTGAAACAATTCTTTCTTTTCTTTTGTTAATAACTTCCTTGCCTCCTTTCACATAAAAAAGCCCCGTTTTGTACAACTCCTACAAACTCTCTCCTATTTACTAGATGTGACGCTGCCTAATTCATAAGTTGTTGAATAAAGCCCATTAGGTCTTCATATTTTCTCGGTTTAATTTTGTTTTTTAACAATAACACCTCAAAAAAAAGACACCTGGTTCTTCCCATCTAACTTGTTGGATGTCCTTTTCTCACTCTAAATAATCACTTTAATAAGGAAAGTCTGACAAAATCGTATAAGCCCTAGGGCCCACACAACTCCGCTTAGCCGCTGGGGAATACAAATGGGTCTCCTCCTGCTCCATACCCTTCTCTGGCTCCCCAGTGCTCTCACGAGCTAAATAGAGCTCTTTTTACAGAGAACTCCATTTCCCATCGGCCTCTTCGCTCGACACCTACATTTCCCAACATGCACGACACCTCCTGCTCCAAGGATTCTTCCCGGCTCCGCCCTCCTAGCCCTGAAGGCCTGACTCTTGCGTTACGTCACCAGTCTCCAAACTCTCCTCTTACCGCCAACTTCTCTAGGCCTCCGTGAGAGGGCGTGGTGGCCTTGCGCGATCGAGGCGCCCATTGGCTGCCGTGTTGCCGGTAGGGCGTGGCTACGGGAGCCGGGCGGGCACATTTCGAACCGTGGCTGGGGCGGCGGCTGCGGCAGCGGTGGCTGCGGCGGCGAAAGATGAACCCGGCAGGCTTGGCGGCGGCGGGGACGCCCCGGCAGCGTAAGTGGCGTACGTGGCCGACCGAAGAGATCGGGAGGGCGGGGCGTGGCGGGGCCGCCTCGGCGGTTGGCGAGGTCGCCACAGGTCAGAGGTCACGAGGTCAGGGAGCTACGAGGTGTGCACAGCGCAGGGATGCCAGGTCCGGGTAGGGGGGCGCGTTGGGGTCGATTCTTTTCTTTAGGAAATTCCTTTGGAACAAGTTTGGGCAAGATATTGTGTGATGTGCAGAAAAACGCGTCTTCCATTCATTTGTACTTAGCCCTCTGGCCGCTCTCCACCCTTCCGTGGCCTTGCGCGGTTGCCCACGTAGCATAGGACGGCGTTTATGGCCCTATAGCCCTATGCGATCTCAGAGGACCGTGTTTACTCCTCATTTAAGATTTGAACCTGGATTTACTGTGCTGTTTTCCCGTATCTGTGAATTTCTATCTCTAAGTTCCTCTTCATCCCCAGGAGTGACCGTGCATCTTATTTATTCATTCAGCGTATCTTGCTTCAACTCCCTTGTGCCAGGCCCTGTGCTGGTGGAATATGAATACCCAGTGGTAACCTACAACTTGACAACTTACAAGGGAGAATTTAGTGGGAAGACAGACACTAAACTCGGAAGTAAACTAGTCAGCAAGATAATTTGGGAAGTAACTAGAACTGTAAAGGGAGTAAATTGGAAATTGATTGGGGGGGGGCAGTTGAGGCCTCAAGACATGATGCCTGCATTCCTCCCTTCAACCTTTCTTAAGATACCTGGCTGGAAAAAAAAAAGAGAGAGAAACCTGGCTGGCCCTGCGGTAGGGGATCTTGGGGACACAGACGTGCCCATCAGTCCTGCTTCCTGTCTTCATGGAGCTACCAGTACAGAGCGGAAGACAGCAACAGTCTAGTGTGATGGAGCTATGTGCAGGCACAGGGCTCAGGGCTGGTGTGGGGGAAGCACAGTCAGAGAGCTTGTGACTGGGATGGAGGTGTGTGTTAGCCAGATTAGGAAACTTGACCCGGCCCTGCCGTGTCAGTGAAGCTTCCTGGAAGAGATACAGCTGATGATGAGGAATGAGAAGGGGATTTGTGATGAGAGGGAAAAGCCTGGGAGGCTTGTGCTGAGTAAACAAGTAGACAAATGAAGATAGATTTAGAAATTGTGGTAACTCCTTAAAAGAGAAAAAAGAACCACTGGATATTATGAGAAAGAGCAAGGGCTAGGGCTTCATATGAAGGATAAGGAAGATCTCTTGAGAAGGAATCTTTTGAGCTGAGGCCAGGTGCTCTATTGGCCGGTGTTAATTGTGGGAACGTGTTCCAGGGTGATAGCAGTGTCTGTTCTAAAGCTTGAGGAGGCGAGGAGCTTGGCAGGGTCAGGGCCCGAGAGGTGGAGGCCCTTGTGGCCAGGTGGAATGAGTCCCAAGAGAGGTAACAAACCAGGGTGGTTGGCAGGGCTGGGTCATGCAGGGCCTCGTAGGCATTTGGGTTTTATTCTCAGTGCAGAGGGCAATGATCTTAGGCAGAGGGCATGAAATACTCTCTGCCCAAGGATGAACAGGGGTACCTGGTAGAAGGACATTTAATTCAGGCGCAAGATGACAGAATCTGAGAAAGGAGGGTAACATTGAGACATGGTGGGTGAGCACCAGTGTCAGAGGTAAAGGCCCAGGGGCAGTCAGAGGGCCGTGGCAGGATATGGTGGCTAGAGACAGCCCAGGGCATCAGGTGGGTGGCTTTGAAAGCCAGGAGTGTGGTGAGATTGCCCTAGGTGAGAGGCAGAAGACAAGGGTAAGGGTGAAAAATTGGGTCACACAGTTCAGGGAGCTGGAGAGAAACCAGTGACTGAGGGACTGATCAGACCATCAGTTCCATAAAAGCATGAGCTGTCCCCTTTTGTTCACTGCTGTATCCACTTTGCCTGCCAGCAGGGTGTAACACACAAAAGGGCTCCGTCGATGTTTGTAGGACTCCGACAGGAGAGAGAAAAAGGTAGTACGGTGTCTCAGAAGCCAGGAAAACAGGTACTGAGTCAGAGGCTGGCATTTGCGGCAAGGGCCTTAGTGCTGCCAAGGGCCTTGAGTCCGAGCAGAGAGGAATAACAGCCCCGGCCTGGTGGTGCAGGGGCATTTAAGGGACCAGTGAGAGCAGAACCCCAACTGCCAAGGTCAGAGGTGGTGACAGAGAGGAAGGGCGGGCTTTTACCAAAGCTTTCCGGAAACCAGCCCTTTGGCCAAAAGTGGGAGAGGGAAAGAGAAGTGGTGCTCAGGGACAAGTGGGCCAGTGCCAGCGCTATTGGCTTTGAGATCGAGGACTTCCCTGGGTCTGTTTTCAGGCTACACATAATGAAGAGGAAGAGTTGAGGGACTAATAACTGATGACAGGTGATGAGATGGATCACTCTTCTATGGGCCAGGCCAGGGGCTGAGCAGTTTATGAGTGTCAGTTTGCCCAGAGAGTGGACACCTTTCCACTGAGAAAATGGAGGTGTGGAGAAAGCCATGACGTGGATTATTTGACCCCTCTCCCCTCCGTTGTAATCTTACTGCCCTTTTCCGGCCATGGCGCTTGGCACAGAGGAGGCTCTCAGTAAATTTGCTATGGAGGCATTGCTTTGGGTCAGGGTGCTGGAGCCAGAGCGCTGGGTTCAGATCCGCCCTCTTCATATTCCCCATCTCTGTAGACAGCACCCCACCCACTCAGACCAGAATCTGGGAAGA